CACTTCCAACTGCTTAACCACTGGATTATATGTCAGAGGCACTAACACGTAAAATCCAAAATAAGATGAAGCCTAAGGCATCATGCGAAACCCAGAAAGTCTTTTCTATTTTGGAAACAGCTCTTGGTACAGTATTCCTCGAGCTGCGCGACTGTGTCATTCAAGTTGGATTTACAAGAAGTTCCTTTTCGGTTGTGTTGGATTGACAATGACGTGGTGTCTAAAACACAAGCGTCTTGTCTGTCTGGCTGTGTAGGTTCTCAGTCATCCAGGTCAGGGTAATCCTAAGTGCTTTAGCGGAAGGAAGCCTCTTGGGTGGGAGGTGAAACGTCTTCAAGAACCAAGAAGGAATCCAGCTGCCTTCTACAGAAGCACTGAGGATTACAAATGTCTGTCAGAGAGGTCTGGGTGATAAAATGACAGCAGAATGTCGCAGTGATCGACACCAATTATGAAAGCTGTGCAATAAAATGTTCAATAGTTTGACATAAACAAACAACCACGCTCTCTCCGAGGCTCATAAACAGCCAATCATATCCCTTGATAAAAAAGCCTTGTGGCCCTCTGTTGCTCTCCCCTGGCATCTGTGCACTAGTCTGGTTGTCTATCTTTTCCTTTTTAGTCTTTTTTTTTTTTTTTTTTTAATAATTTATTGCATTATAACAATGTCATATTGCACAAAAGACATGTCTGAGTTCTCTCTACCTCTAGTCGTTTAACCCTCTAAACCCCAAAACCCAGCAGTTTGTTTGAAAGGAATGTTGTCACAAAGATTACACCATTTATCAGAGCCAGAAAATGCAGTAACAGAAGGAAACAGCAGATTCCTGTCGGGAAAACTCACCAAATCTGAGCCTAAAATCTTTTGTGTAAAATAATTTCTTTGTCAGTTTTCCTAGAGGTACAAGAAAATGTGACAGGAGCAAGAAAACACCCAGAAACAGCTGAAGGCTCATGGGGTTAATGTGTAAACATTAACAATATCAAGTGTTCCTCGTAAATATGCAAAAATGTTTTTTTTTCCAATTTCAAACTAAGATTGATCAAAATAAATTCAACCTTTTATCTATTTGTTTATTAGACATACTGTAGGTCATTAAAAATTACCCCAAATTATTGATATCGACTGAAATAAAACATTTTGTTGTGAGAAATTGAGCTGTGTCACCCAGCCTGCACATTCCTGTACTGCTTTATGTAATCATGTGGAACTAATGCAGTTGTGACATATTTTTGCGATACCAGTTCATGTTTCAGTCACAAAACAACACAAGAGTGGCACAAACAGCAATCTCACACGTGTTCCAGACGTCAAGAGTGAAAATTACCTGTGAGGGCTCAGCGTGATGTTCCCCCACATGTGCGTACAGATGTGTGACACTCACAGAAGCTTGGGAGCTACAAACTTTTACACAAATGGTACATGTCCCCATCCTGTAGCACATATCCAGCCTGTATCTGAAGAGAGTGCAGTAGCTGGGTATCATTATGCTCCCACGGTGCTTTTTGTCCCTAATTGCACCCTGTCACCCTGCAGAGAACAAATACATGAGCGAAAACACACAAAGGCTTGTACTCGTCTGCGTGTTGTGTGTCACGGTCCTTTTGTTTCTGTAAGGAAATGATTGCAGGCCCTTTTCTTGTTTCATATTACAGCGAGTTCAAACACGGGTGGAACATAGGAAGGAGTAGCAGACAATGAGATGTGACAGCTGCAGCAGAAGTGTGTGGACCACATGCTGGGGTCGCGCTGAGGCTGATGTGTGCTGCAGAAAGTGGGTGGATGCAGGTCGGAAGGCTGCACACATCGGTAGGGCGTTTTTATGTTTCTGTTCTCCAGATAATGAGAGAACCTGCAACTGCAGACGGCGTTGGTGTGCACGAACACACTCCTGTCAGTGCTACACACACCCAGGCTGCAGGCCAGTGCAGTCTGTCCCAGTGTGTGAGCGACCCTGTCTGTGTGTGCGATAATTATTCTCTAATGAGCGCTGCTGTTAGCACATTAAAGAGAGAGGCTTCAGAGCCCTCCCTGCGCGTGTGTGTCTGTTTGTGTGTCACGTGGAAGTGCGATTGTGTTCCAAGTAAAGTCAGTGTGCGTCTTCACCTTGTCTCTTCTTATCACAGGCCAACCATTTGCATTTTACTATGCGGAACTAATGCATGTTTGTGTTTGTGTCAAAGCGAGGAAAGAGGGGAATACAGTCCAGACGGTAAATATTTAGACAGTTGCACGTATCTTATTCTTCGGGCTCTGTGCTCCAGCACATTCAATTTAAAATAAAAATAACGAATGCTCCATGAAAGTGCCAAGTCTCAGCTTTAATTTGAGTGGATTTACATCAATATAGAGACAACTGCGTGGGAGAGGGAGCCCTTTTAACACGTAGTGCCCAAAGTAATTGGGAAAATAAACATGAAGTCAAACTAAATTATCATATCAGATATTTTGTGAGTAATCCTTTGCTGTCGATGATTCGTCTTCGACATACAGACCGTTAAGGATTGTCGTGCTGCTGAGGGAGTTTTGATACATTCGAGTAAATCTGAGCACACAGACCTGCTCCTGTATACCTCTGCATTTCTCTTGTTGCTTCCATCAGCTGTGAAATCATCAGTATGTGTCAATTCTACTGGCAGAAATACATGCCCAAGCTCTAACAGCAGCACCACCATGTTTGACAGATGTCATGTTGTGTTTTGGGTTTTCAGCTTATCCTTTTTTCCTCCATACATTTATCTTTCCATCTTTCTAATGGAGGTTGATATGTTGTTTCATTTTGAATTTTGTTGTGAACTGCAGCTCGGCTTTTCTGTTTTTGTGGCCTACCAGAGGTTTAAATGAGCCACTGGTCATGCAGACACAATGTTCAATTCCTATACAAAGTATTCACCCTCTTTGGAGTTTTTCCATTTTGCTGCTTTTACACATTAAATCGGGGCTTTTTGGACAACAATTTACAAAAAAAGACTCTTTTGTGTCAAAGTGAAAACAGATTTCTACAAAGTAATGTAAGTTAATTCAAAATATAAAAAGTAAAATATGTGATTGCATAAGTATTCACCCCTTCAAATCAGTATTTAGAGCACCTTTGGCAGCATTGAGTTTATGTGGATAGATCTCAAACACTCTTGTACATCTGGACACTGCAGTTTTACCCCATCCAGGTTGTTGTCTTGCTAGAAAACAAATCTTCTCTCAAGTTGTAGTTCTCTTGCAGACTGCATCAGGTTGCCCTCTGGGATTTTCCAACACTTTGTTGCATTCGTGTTATCCTCTACCTTTACAAGTCGTCGAGGGCCTGCTGCCAAGAAGAATCCCCATCTCATGATACTGCCACCACCGTGCTTCACAATGGGGATGCTGTGTTTGTGATAAAGCGCATGTTTGGTGTCTGCCAAACCCAGCATCTACTCTGATGGCCAAAAAGCTCATTAGACCACAGAACCTCCTTCCAGTTGACTTCATAGTCTCCCACGTGCCCTCTAGAGAACTCTAGTTGAGAATTTATATACACATTTTCAACAGTGGCTTTCTATTTGAATGGTGACGAAAAGGCAACAGTGACTGAATGCACAGTGTCTCTCGTCTCAGCCACTGAAGCTTGTAAACTCCTTCAGAGGAATCATAGGTGTCTTGGTTAAATTGACCATGATTCAATGGTGAAAAGCAATAAAAGACTTCCAAGTGTAGTGAGTGCTTATATCTGCGCTTTACATCCTGGAGAGCATTCTAGACTTGCTGTGCAGTGATAAAGGGTTTGTTTTTTGGCACCATCCAAATGATTTTTCGCTCATACACAAAACTTGTCCGTCTCAGTCTACCAGCTTGTTGGTCATTTTTTTAGTTCTCCTAGTTTTTAAGACACTTCAGGCCGACCTAGTGGGAGAAGCTGTGTATCTTAATGTAAAAAAAAAAGAGATTCTTTGTCCAAATCCTGGCAAAACATGGTCTTAATGTGAACATTCAATCAGCATCATCTTGGTTTTAAGGAAAAGGCTAGAAACATGACTCCAAATACAATGTTGCTCCATTTCTGCTGGATGTGTATATAAGCGGCTGTTTGCTAACACATTTTTCAACTTGTTGAAAATAATATATCTGTGCTGTTGTTTCTGCTGTGAAAAGTGGTCCAGAAACAGTCCGTTGTTCGGTGTGTTACACAGTAAATGTGGTTTTTGACATATTCTGTCTATGATGATACACCTGCCCTGAAGTAGCACTACTGATTCCTCTCTTATTCAGGATCATTATGGTTTTTTTCTGGCTGCCTTTGCTACTTTTCTGTCATGAAAACATATTCAGAAGGCTGCACTAAAATAGTGTTCCGTCTCCCACGTTAGCACTGATGTAAGTGTATTTTATCCACAGTACACCGTCTCCTGAAAGCAGTTTACTGAGCATTTGTGTATGTTTGTTTGTAAATAAGATGATGGAGAAGAGACAGGATGAGTGCCATCTGTCTGCACAGGACATCTTTAGATTTGGCCATAAAAACATCCCATCTTATTTTATGCAGTTTAAACAGTCGCAGATTTTCACCAACTGGAGAGAGACGGGTTGGATACATCTGAATATGAAGGTGTCTGCTGCCGGTGTGGTCTTTGTTCCTTAATCTAAGTTATAATAACTACATTTATCATTCATCTCTGGGGTCTTTTTTTCAAGAACAGATGGTGTTTTCTATCATATGAATGGTGCTGAAAAAGCTTTCATTCTGGTTTCTATTTTCCTCCCTCCACTCCTCTTCACTATCAGTTACAGAAATACCTAAAACTCAGTTGCTTTTTAAAAAAATATTTCTCCTTTGTCTTGATTTTTATTCTTTGCCCTTTAACTGCACTTCCACAACATGTTGTCATCATTATTCACAGCATCATTAGCAGGATTACAGTTGGTTTTCCAAACAGAGCTCAGCTAAAAGTCACATTTTCTCTCATTTTCTTTCCTCATCACTTTCCATCTCGTCCCTTTCACCACCCCTCGTTCCCCTCTGCAGCAGTACTTCACGCTCCTCATCATCACAGACGGTGTCATCAGCGACATGGATGAGACGCGCGACGCCATCGTACAGGCATCTAAGCTGCCCATGTCCATCATTATCATCGGCGTGGGCAACGCAGACTTTGCTGCCATGGAGTTCCTCGACGGAGACGCCAGCGTTTTGAGGTCCAGCACGGGAGAGGAGGCTGTTCGGGACATCGTGCAGTTCGTCCCTTTCAGAGATTTCCGTAATGTGAGTTCTGGTCTAAGTCTATGCTTATACAGACGCATACAAAGCCAAACTAAATCAAAGGCCTTTTGACAAAGTGTTTTGTTGGAGTTTGTGTTATTCTAACTTTTGACAGCAAGATTTTCTATCTTTACTGCAAAGATAAGTTGGTTCCAAGTATCGGTCATCACCTTCCTTGAATTCTAATAATTGCTATTCGATAAGGTTGACCCTTGGTGCAAACATGTCTGTTTTAGTGTCTGCTGTCTCTCAGTGGCTTAAGCCTATTGTTGCAAGTCCTGTTGTCATTGTTACGCTCTCATATTAACTTTAACTGCACCTTAATGTACTTATTGGACAGTATTGCACTTGAGTCTTGTAGTTTTTGGCTACCAATCACAAATATGTTAAAGACTGTCTTTTTAAAGAAACGCTTCTCTTCGTCTTTGAATAACTATCTACAAACTCAACCCTTCCAGCCCTAAATGACAGCTCAAGCACACCGGCTAACTTACAACTTTCTTCAAACACAGTGAAACTACTCTACGATATTCAATGGCAAGTTGCAATTTTGGAGAAATTTAGCCATACGTGTTAAAACTACAAACCGATTCTGAAGTAGAAGAATTCGTAAAAAGACAGGATTGGTTGCTTAGGTTTGTAATATATGAAACCGTGGTTGTCTGAGCCTGTCGTCATTATGACTGTATGTTTCCCTCACGATGTATATTCCCCAATATAAAAACATCATATTGATAGGTTAAAAAAGTTTTTAAAAATGTTAATTTTCACTGGAGGGGGTGTTTAAGAAGCTGAAATACACATACAAGTATTAATACTGCAGCACTTTGACTTTGTTGAAACATGAATATTCAGAACATACACAACCAGCTCTCGACATAAAAGAAAAGTTTGTGGTGAATCATCCACAAACCAAATGGTTCCCAGCGAAGTTTGATGTCTTCCAGTCGCCAAGCTAACGTGTCAACCTGTGATTTGTGGCGTCACTTTGACTCCATCTTAGGTTTGCAGGTTTACCTAATGACATGCTGTCACGCTGTCTGAATGCGAACGTGTTACTAAAATGGCAGCCTGTTGCCACTCAGGTTGCAGCTGAACGCACACACAGCACACAGTTTGCTTGGTGAGCGTGGCTGCTTGGTTATCTCAGACTCAACAGAGACACCGTGAGAGCGCGTTGGGTTGATAAGCACGCAGAGCATGTAAAAAAGTGTTAATGAGGGTTCGTACATGTGTGCTGCAGGTGAGCGCGCAGGTTAATTAGTGTGTGCACATTTTCAGACTGTCCACAGGAGCTCATTTAGTGCATTTTGGGGGTTTTTTGCCATGTTTTCATGTGTATATTTTGTCTGTGTGGGCAGCTGGTGGGCGAGCTGACTTCCTCTGTTGTGGGAGGAACAGACAGTGTTTGCTGGCCTCATTCCAGGTTGGTGGGAGATTGAAAGACAGCAAATGACTGAACACAGAGGAAGAGGGAGAAATGAGGCTGAGAAAATGTAGAAATTAGAGCGACCTGACATGATGAACGGTGCTGGGCACGCTAACTTTTACCGCAGATTGTTAGAAAGTTGGAATAGTTGGTGGTGGCTCTGAAATACTTTGAAAGTTAGTAGCTTTTGTTGCTCTAAAATCTATTCGCATGTAGAAATACGAGTCAAATTGTACCTAAAGTGCAAGTCATTCTGCAGCATAATCCATTTATAAATAATGTATTGAATTGCACTGAAGGTATTGATGCAGTAATATGTACATAAGGGGCAAATCAAGGCATTAACTGATCAGTATCACCATGAACCTTCAAGTGTGATCTTTTGTTTACATCCACTGTCAAGAAAATGTCCACATGGGAGAGCACAATTTGTGGCAGGATGCAAATTTTGGATGATTTTCTTAATACATGGAGCATTATCAATCACTAATTGATTAATTGGTAGAGCAAGTTGAGTATGATGTTGCTGATATTGCTGTTTTAGTCAACAGATGTATGATCTGGCCCACTCAGAAGTCTCTGTTTCACATGCTACTGGTAAATAGAAACACTTTTCTCGTCGATTTCAACTTGGCTCAATTGTATGAGCGCTGGCCAGAGGTCATTAAATGCCTCAGAATTCTTTGCCATGGTGGCCCGTTGGTATCTAAACTCCCAAAATACTTGTTTGCCAACACGGAGCTGCCTGCAGTGTAAGTGAAAACAACCACATGTTTAGTATCCAGGGAAATGGTATCTAATTGGATTGGCAGATACTAAATATTAAATGGCTCGGATCAGATTTGATTGAAACAGAAAAACCTGATTGCGACATCCTAATGGGTATATTAATGCAGCTGATGAATGTTTTTAAAGGTTATTTCTAGTCTGCTTGGTAGCTTGTAAATTTAAACGAAGGATGAATTCGGTCTTTATACATAATAAATCTTTATATGTTGATTTTTTTCTCTACTATTAATCTGAATTTGTAAAGTCAATAGTAAATAAAGTCATGAGATGAATTTCATCTAGCAAAAAGTTTGTTTCGGTCAGATTTGTAGTAGATTAAAAGTATAAACAAAATGGAGTTATTTAAGTAAAGTACAAGTACTTTTAAGTTGTAATTCAGACAGGACTTGAGGTGTTATTTTCCACCACTGATTAGAAAGTACTGCATGTGCTGTAGTCAGAACCTGCTTTGAAGACTAATTTATGAGACCAAACACAGTGTAAGTAAGTAAAACTTCATTTTTTCAGCTCTTTTTAAAACCAAGGTTAAATGCATCACTCTTACAAAGAAAACAATAAAAAGCTTCTGAATCCATAGTTCAATCAAAACACAAGGAAAATTGTTAATGCAAATGAGAACAGCCAGTTTGTATCAGTAAAACAACCTTGGGAACAAATTGTTTGAAGACGAGATTTAAAACACAGAGTTTTCTGATCTATAATCTTGGAGCAAGAAGCACAGCCGCCTTGAGCCGCCTGAAACACCAGGAGCCCTATTTCTCATTAATGCTTTGAAAGAAACTCGATTCATTTTGTTTTCAATCCTAAATTTAGCAGGAAGCCAGAGTGAAGGCAGCATTAGGTTGATACGGGAACTCTGTGGAGTCTTAATTAGTAATCATGCAGCAGACGTTTGAGCTAATGTCACAGTGCAACAGCTTATTTGCCTTTAAGAAGACAGAGCATTTCAAAAGTGAAGACATGAGAAGACAAAGCAATGAATAATTTGTTTTAGCTGTTCAAAAGATAAGAAGGGACAAAGGTATCAGCTGAAAAAATGAGACTGAATAACTGATTGGAGCTGTTTCTGGAAACCAACTTTGAGTGAGAAACATTGAAGTGCTGTTGATATTTTTTTTCAAGGGATGGTTCAACTCGCTGTGACGGATTGTAGGATGCTCTAAGCCATCTGGACATAAAAGTTATTAAGACTTGTATGCAGAGGATTTGAAAGTTCGCCTGATTTCATAAATACATGGACATAGCAGCAATGGAAGATGCAGCAAAACTTCCAGATAATGTTTTTTTTTAAAGGGAACAATACTGCAGAAAAGGGAGAATTTAAATGTTCCCAGGATTGAGCCTTGAGGAACACCACGGGTCAGCGAGTCATAAATATTTATTAGAGATTATAACTAGACTGAAAGTTTGACTGGTCAATAAATTTTCTATCTTATTTTATAGCTTCTGTTTTCTGGTTTTGAAATCTGGTTGCAGAGATTTGCCGCAATTCAGACACAAGAGCAAAGAAGCTGAAGTATTATAAGTCAGGGTCATAACTTGTATTTCAGTGTAAGTGCCATTACTTACTTCATGTTCAGGCTAGCCTCTGCTCCTCTAGCTCCTGTAAGTCAATGCAGTTGCTCATTGAGCCTTTCTTTAGCTGTCTATCTCTACATGTTCGCACTGGGCAGTTCTCTCTAGCTGATGGGATATACTCTTTAATAATGACCAATAAAAAGCAGAAAAATTAAAAAAGTGACAATATTAGATTGTTATATTGTTGGTTTTTTTGAACTGTTATGTCGGCTTTCATGTCAGTCTGCCTCATCAAGCTCGGCAGTATTATGTTTTCAACTTGCCTGTCCAAAAATAGGCTTTAAAAAAAGATAGATGCAGCCACCATGACATTAGTGGTTGGTTTACAGACTTCTGTTTTGAAGTTTTTGGGTTAGCGTTTGGCTGCTGCCATCTTGCTCTTTTGACACTAAATGTAACAAGCCTGAAAACCCAGGTAGACTATGCAGGTGACCTGTCAATCTTAAGGTCATCCTGCCCTAAGATATACCCTGCTTTATTGTTTATTTTAGTGTAAACAGGACCATAATTTACTAAATGAACGCTGTGCTGTTTTGAATAAGATTTGTAACTAGCGATTGAGACCATGAACTCATTAGGAAAAGCTCAGTGAGGTAACAGATGAAGGAAGATGTGGTACATTTTCTCATAGACTTCTATACAATCAGACTTCTTTTTGCAACCAGAGGAGTCGCCCCCTGCTGGCTGTTAGAAAGAATGCAAGTCACTTTCACTTGAGTTTCTTCCAGCTTGGCACAAATGGTTACTTTGACTCAAGGATGAACTCATTAGATTTTGGTTCACTGAATTCACTGTGGCCTAAAAACGCATTTTTTGACATTCTTTTTCTGAATTCATGATAATTATGACAACATCTCACACACGTAGGAAACAATAATGACCACCACAACTTAAGACCACAAGGGCAGACTGTGACTGAACGTCACATTTGGCCAGATACTGAATTGGTGACACTAATCTTCAGTGTCCATCTTTTAACTGCTGTTAAGATCTTCTGTGCTGATGGGTTGAGGATGTGTGTGAAGCATCCATGTTTTTGTAGCTACTTTGCAACAACATCCACATTTGAAGCACCGCCTACTGTCATGGCTACAAGTTTGTGTTCTATCAGAATCAGCTTTATTTGCCAATCACTTGAACACATACAAGGAATTTTTTTATTGTTTCTGTGGATGAACTTATAAAGTAAACTACAGCTTGACTGGTTTGTGTTGTGCAACTGCAAGAATTGGTGCAAATGACAGTAGGATTTTAGATAAGGTTGTCTTAAGCTGTAGCAGAACCTGGAAGTTCCTGTTTCACTTCCACTGTCTGTTCATCCACTTTGAGTTGTAATGAGGCTCTGTGCAGGCCAGTGAAGCTGTTCCACACCAAACTGGGAAACCACTTTTATGACTTTGTGCACAAAGTTGAAATAGCAAATGGCTTTTCCAAAACACTGCACAGATATGAGTGTTGTACAGGAAAAGTCATTTACATCAAGAGCCCCATCCGAAGTATCCTGACCTTCTCAAACCCTTAAGTGTTTTTGTTTTTGTAGAGGTTAATGTTCAATTTCGTTCTCTTTCTCTGCCAGGCACCCAAGGAGACCCTTGCCAAGTCAGTCCTGGCCGAGCTGCCTCAGCAGGTCACCCAGTACTTTAAACAGCGGAATGTACCGCCGGCCAACCCGGCGCCGGAGTGAGACGGACGCAAGCCCAACATGCTGTACAACAGCTCGACGAAACCTCTCTTCTCGATAAACAGAATGAAAGTGTGTATGTCAGCTGTGAACAAATATAAGTTGTGGACGTTAAAAAAAATTAAAAATAAAATCAAACATTGAAGACATTCCTGCTGTTACATTTGCAAAAAATTTACTGGTTAAAGAATGTTTGGTCAGTATCTAGTGTGAATCCATCAGAAGTGATATTCTTTGTTTCAGATCTCTGATGGTGAAGAACCTTGCATGTGTAAAGTGTCCAAATGATATGCAGGTAAAAACGCTGGCCATTATTAGACGGATGAAAAACGATTCACCGAGATGTAGGTTTTTTTATTTTGCTTTTTGCATGTGTATGTGTCTTGTGATTGATACCATGTGATACATACAACTCCCTTGTGCAAAGTCCTTTCTAAGCTGAGCTGTATCAGTGGTTGATTCCTCTCCCGTTGTTGTATGGATCCTTTTCGAGGTAGCAGATCAGATGAAAGATGTTTGTGCTCGTGTGTGGTGGTCTCACAGACTCAGCAGAGCACTTTTTTCTTCGCCCCATCACCAGAGGGAGGTTTTTATTTAGAAGGTTTGATCAGTAGTTCATGTGAGAGGCGGGTTTAATGCTCCGCTGTGTTATCGAAGAGGAAGGAATCAGAGAAATATGGGGTTATAATGGCAGCTGTAGCACTAACACAGAATAGATGTATGATACTGTGGGGACTCATTAAACTGTTAAATATGGGGCCATTTTGCTAGCTTTTGCAAAATCCTTGTATTTCTTATGACTTCAGTTCACCCTGCATGTCGCCAATATCTACTTACTGTTTACAAACTGATGCTGATCGACACAAACGCATGATGTTTTTATTTTTTCCAATTTATGTATTTATCAGATTCTGTAAATATTTTATGAGATTCTGTTGAAAGCAAAGGAAGTATTACAAGAAAAAGAAAGACGTTTCAACAGAGGCTGTTACTGTCAGAGTTTTACAGAGCGGAAGCAGAGAAGTTTCTGATATGCATATATATCGAATGTATATTTCTATGATGCCGTTTGTGTTACGATAAGCCAATGTTTCTGCCATGTTTTTAAATGTACTTTTTATGCAGTGCTGAATTGTGTAATTAAACTACCATGTGTATTGCTGTGCATCTTTGTATTAAATGTGTTCACCATTCATTTTTTTAAAGTTGTGTCTGTGTCCACACTCAGGTTAATAAACGGAAGGAAATGTCACGCGACCTCCGTGTCTCTGTGAACGTTAGATCAGCACCGAAAAGAGACACAAAATAACTAGAAAAAGCCACAAAACTACTACAAAGCAACATGAAATGATCATAAAGAGACACAAACCAACTACAGAGGTTAAAAAATGACCACAGCGGAATGCAAATCTATTGCAAAGACATGAAACACACCTACAAAGTGACTAGAAAGAGATGCAAATTGGCCACAAAGAGGAGATAAATTGCTACAAAGATGTGAGACGAGAGAGATGCAAAACAAGCAAAAAGAAAAACTGAACACCTAAATAAGAGACAAAATACCGCCAGAGAGCTATGAAATGGCTGCAACAATATGCAATGCGGAGAAAATTAAATGACTACGGAGATGCAAACTGACTACAAAGGAATGCAAAAGGAGGACAAAAGATGTTAAACTATTCCAAAGAGATGCAAAATGAGTGGAGTGATGCGAAGCAGCCACAAAGAGATTCTAAGTGATTTCAAAGAGATGCAAAATGATTACAAAGAGACTCCAAGGTTCCAAATCTGCCCATGTATTAGAGAGGAGATTGTTGTATAGAAACAGAATTGTGGGTGGTGAAAAAGACACTTCTGTAGCAGCAGATCTGTCTTTAACTCCACATGACTCACCTCTGATTTTTTTTCCTGCTGGTTTTGCTTGGACTGAACAGATAATGAATTACAGCCTGCCGCTACCAGTTAAAAAAGACTCAGCAGTGAATTCACAAAGCACTGCATCGGAGAAACACACAAAGAAAATATAACAATTCCTACAAATATTCTTACAACCACACAATCATCCTACAACCTTTGTCTGTGGATTTCTTGTGGTTTAGTGCTGCTGCCTTTGGCACAAACCGCCTTGAACACACTGTAATGATTGCCAGATTAAGAAATGTGACTGCTGGGGGACAGATTTTCATCTTGTGTTTGGTACGCTTCGAGACTCAAATCCCCTACTGATATTTTCTTTGTGTATGTTAGTTATATTATTTGTTGTCATGGCAACTCCCTTCACAGCTACAACAGCGATGCTGAGCTTCATCTGTCAGTTAAACCCAGAAAGCTGCCTTAATGATGTCGGTGAACTCACCACAGACAAACCCAAACGCTCGTTACCGATCATGAACACAAGATAAAATTATCTCACTGTCTCATCTTCACACTGTGTTTACAGAGGCTTTGAGTCAGCCTCATACCTCCAGCAACACACACTTGGAGAAACATTTCATCCACTGATAGAGAACGACAAACACTGGACTGCTCAGGTGGTTTAATCGCACTGGGAGGCTTTACATTCTGATGTGATCTCACCTTGACCGCCATCCTGTTTTTCTCTCTCACATGAGTTAATTAAGCTCCAGATGCGCAGATCTCCTGCCAAGGTCTAAATGAGGACTGAATATACAACCCAGAATCCAATTACCTGAATTACTTTTGATGTAGTCCAATTTTACACATTAGTTTCATTGCCCATGTTGGTCTGGCTCTGAGCTGCAGTAGATGTGCAATCAGAGTTATAAAGAACTGTCTTTAGCAACAGATGGTATATGACCCCCATAGAGCTCTGATCTCAACATTTTGGGATCAGTCTGGGATTATATAAGGAGACAGAAAAAAACAGGCAATATGGATTTGGTGGAAAATGAAGTTACTACTCTGGTTTTCTGTAGTTCCTGTCACTTTCTCAAAGCATTTAAATGCACCATTGTATGTCTTTAACTTTGTGTCTTCTCTCACAGAACCTCTCTACAGGGATTTCTGGTTCTGGAGCTGATCTGCAGCTACTGGACCCACCAACCTGTCCAGTCTTTATTGTTCTCTTGTTTGCTGTTAGTCTCTGATTTGCTTTTTTCCCCCCTTCTCTTCCCCCTCACCCTAACTGGTTGAGGCAGACAACTGTTCTCCCTGAACCTGCTGAAGGCCTGTTCATTGTGATTTGTTGGGTTTTTCATGTATAATTTTGTAGGATCTTAACTTCAATTTCTTAATTTAGTCGGGTAATTTGTTGGAGTTCTTAATATTGTAGGTTCTTAATCCTAACATTTAGGTTTATCAAGTTAATTTGTGTTATATATAATATTTTAGGACTCAATATTTAAACCCGTTAACCAGCAAGCAGGGAATGTTCACACTGGCTAATGCTATCTACAAGTTGTGTTTTAAAGAAAACGTTAATCTATGTTCAAAGAATGTTTTAAAGGTATTTCTCATTCGAATAATGTTCCTTTGATGTTAAAAGTGAATTCGGATGTAATGTTTTCATTGCAAGATTCCTGTTGGAGGATGTTGTCAGATTATATTACATAGAAACAAAAGAATATCCTAAATCTAACATTCAGAAAATGTTTTCAAGATGTTATTAAGGCCTCAGATGACAGAATTTTGAAAAATCAAAATGTTCCTGTAATGTGACATAACAACAACAGCAGAACATTTTGCCTGCAATATTCTGACAATGTTTTGGGGATGTTGTTGAGGTAACACCTTATAAAACGTTCTTCCTTCACAATGTTACATGATAACAAAGGAAGAGCATTCTCAATGCAACATTTGGAAAAGGTTTTTAGAAGAACATCTGTAGAAAACTTTGTTCTCGGAACTGAAGAAACTCTCCTCTGAAAACATCACTACAACTTTTTCTAGAACCTTTTTATAACAAACTAAATCTCGCTGGAAAGATATATTTATATAACACCAAACATAGTCTTTATCGAAAAGCACTTTGGCTCAGCAGCTGTTGGATTAAATGTGACATATAAATAACAGTGACTGGAGCTGACCTAACAAAGATATAAAAACTATTTATTGTCATTATTGTCAAGCATTGCATAAGCACTCTAACTTTGCTTTTAGTGCCTTCAGTTTTTGCACAGAACATTGTTCCATGCATTTCAGATTAGTAGGTTTTTGCAGTGACAGGCTTCATCCTCCATCTTCATTTTTCAAACTGCTGGAACAGTGTTATTTTTGCTGATTTTCTTCCAGATTCCAAATTCACAGGTTTGTTCCTTCACATTCATCAGTGTCCAAGTTGGTAAAAAAGATTCCACAGGAACACAAGTCTAATGTTTTTAGCCAAGCTAGAGGCACAGCTTTAACGGTGACCAAATATCTACAAAACCAGTTAATTCCTGTCAGCCTCAGATGGAATGTTTAGCTATGCACGCCTACCAAACCCAGCCAGAGAACATGGCAACTTAAAATCTGCTTATTATCAGTACTGCCAGTGCAAACATGTTTGGCATTAGCTGCTCCCAGCAAAAAACAACCAACGCTGTGCCTGAACTGCCAGCAGCTGAGTTGCTGTTAATGTATTCAGTAAGTTTGGTTGCAGAAGAAGAATGTATGAAATAAAAAATCCAATTCCATTTGGATGCATCTTCTTAACTATTCGCCAAGAATCCAATAATGTAGCTGCGACAATGATTAAGTTTTGAACTAATAAAGTCCAGGGGTTTATAAATGAAACAAAATGAACTGATTAATATTGACATTAGTAGGTGCCACACTTAAATAAAGACATTGCCAGCGAAAAACTGAGGCAGAAAAGACACAAATTGGTGCAAAAAATAAATAAAAAAATACCAGAATGGAGGAAATAAAGTGTCTGATGCTCAGAATTTCACTTGATGTGTCCACCCCTTCCAGTGTTTCATGGAGTTGAAACAGTCCCCATTTGGTTTGTTTTATTGATTGATTTAACAGCACCCATAAGCTCCGTTCTCCTTTTAGTTTCTCTTACACATTTAGTTTTGTCAGATACCCAAGCTCCATTGTCACTGAATGACTTTATTTGACCAAAAAAAAGTCCAGTGTAATGTTGATTCGCTCTCCCGGACCAGCTGGTTTGTAACAATAATGCTGACCTGAAGCACTCCTAAATAACGTTACATCTCTGACACATACATGGCGGCCCCTTCAGGAGACAACGGCAGTGAACGTTTAGTGTCTTATCCCAGACGTGCATTCCACAAAACTTGCTGGTTGAATAATCCTGAAGAAACACTCTCTCATCTTGCCTGTCCTACTGTTTATGTACAGCAAAATGACAATATACTTGATTTGATATTCCATCATTCCTGCTTCAGTTACTTTTTAAATGATCCTACAAGCTATTAAAGTGTTTACTTATCCTGTGGTTTCCATCTAAGAGTGGCAGCCTGCTACCCCGAGATTAATCTAAGGGATCACAACACGACTGTGATAAGGATTTCTGACAGCTCTCTCTAACTTTAGCTTTTTTTTCTTGTTAGATCTTTACCTTTTCAGGCCTCCAAATCTGAAAATGAAACATCTCGAGCAGGGAAAACTTGATGTAATGAAGTGGTATTTGGTGGTGCTTGATATAAAAAAAAAGGTTAAATCTCTGCAGCATACATATTTCTTTCCTTTCACTGCACCAGTAGCTGAATTATTCTACAGCTATACACCAGTCAGCCACATCATTAAACCTTGGGTGCTGGCATTTGTGTGGATGTTGCTTTGACATGAACCACCTAACTAAATGCTGTTGCAGACCAAAGACACAATGGCACCAGCAGCAGCCTCCCCCAGCAGGACACTGTGGCCTGCTGGACAGCTCGAGGAACACGACCAAGAGCCTAGGGTGTTCACCTGGCCTCCAAACTCCCCAGATTGCAATCTGATTGAGCATCTGCAGGATGCACTGGAACAAGCCTGATCTATGGACACCTCAACTCGCAGCTTAGGCAACCCAGAAGATCTGTGGCCAATGTGCCGGTAAAACTGAGGTCCTGTTATATTAGACAGGTGGCTTTAGTGCAGTGGCTAATCAAAGATATTTAGAATCCCTGGTTGGCCAATTTTGCCACCTTTGGATTGGCCTGATTTACTAGATGTAGGGCATAAGACGGCCTTTTTTTTCTTGCACATGTCACATGGCTTTCTTCTTCCTTCTGCTATCTGCATGTTACTGTTTTCAAAACCCCCTTCACTATGAGAAACAACAACTTCTGAGCAGCAACCTATTTGCATCGAGCAGTCAGACAGGCCTGCTTGGTTCTTTCGGTGAATTAATAATTTTAATGACAGTTCTCACCTTCCTGTGTGCAAATTTTCTACTGAAATAACTTACTATTTTGCAGGGGCACCAACACTGCATCCTGGGCTTAACACCATGATTGTGACTGGTTTAAAGAAATATAAAACAAGTTTGCACTTTTTTTTTTGTAGCAGAATGATAACAAAGTGCGACCAGACCATCCTCCAGCGCTGGTGCAGCCCTAACAAGATAGATTTAGCTACGCAAGACTGTTCTTGGACGGACGCAGGCTAGCTGTTCCCCTGCTGCCCGGAAGTCCCGGCTAAACTAAGTTTTAAAACTAAATAATGCAACCATACTTCTGCCTGCTACCTCCAGTGGCCCCAGACAACAGACCAAATGACTGGGTGCTCAGTCAGCCCTGCAAAGTGTTTTAGTGTCCTTCAGCTCGGTGTTTTGATTTTACGACGTGTAACTTTAAAATTGTGGTTCAGGCACTAATGGACAAGCCGACAAGATTAAGAACTAGCTGGGAAAAGTAATGAAGCATTTAGCAGCTAATACACAGAAAAACAGAACCAAACTTAAATCTGGCTGTTTGGTAAGTAACTGTGCTGCCCTCAAGTGGCTACAAAGGGGAAAAAAAAGGTTGTTGCAGGTTAAAAGGATGTGTAGCTAATAAATGTTCCCGAGATGGGTCGCTGGTTCGACCCTGAAAGTTTAAGTAACGCCTCCTATTCAGGCTCTCTGCGGATGCCTGCTGCGACTGAACAGCGTTAAGGTGAATAAACCATAATGGAGCCTTGGAGAGGGAACAAAGAGCCAGACTGAGGGCAGGTAGAACAGTAGCAGTCCATTCTACATGTTCTGGGCTCCCTTCGGGGGGGGGGAGCCGTTACATCTCTCCATCTGGAAAAAGCGACACAGTTCAGAGAGACTAAGAAAAGCGTTCAGGCAGAGAGCAGAGTGAAGGGAACGAGGGTGACACAGATAAAGACTCTAAAACAAGAACGAAAGAGTTGGACAGAACTCAGGAGACATGAAACAGGGTCGAGATGTAGAGACAGAAGAACTTGCATGAGGAGATGCTCACATAATCACGATGTTTAAGACAAAGAGGACAGCTGATGTATATGAAAACAGACAGAGAGTTTTTACAGTGTTGACTGAGCTCTGCACCTGTGTGTTTGTGTTCAAAGCGGACAATGACTGCTTTAAATCCTCACCGTATAGCTACCAGCCTATGATACAGTTTCCACGACAACCCATTCTCTTCATCATCCACAGCAAAACCTGTCTGTCTGCAAAGACAAAGAGAGAGGGACTGAGAGGAGCAGACCAACAGCACAGAGAGCAAAAGTTACAATTTCTGACAAAGGCGCGGATAAAACGAGATGGGATTCAGTGATTAGAACAGGCTGCTTACAGACCTCTAAAAAACTCCCCACATCTAAGATTTGTTCTGCAAGTGCAGGCACTGATAGCTCCGGTTGGAGGAACAGTCGACCAATCAGTGTTTAGTAAGTGAGGCGTATTGCTAGATACTGAGCTAGTAGAGTTAGACCGATAAATCAGACAACTGGCTGATACTACCTTATTGCAGATACAGTATCTCGGTCAGAAAAACAAACCTAATCTAAGGGATCTGAGACAAGATTGGATATTTTGTTCCATTTATCTGGATTTGATAAACTTATCAATATTGATCTCAAAAACACGATATTGTTTGGACTGGTGGAAAAGATCTACACAGCTATTTAAGATAAATAATAGATTCATCACTTGTATGCTCCTAGCAAGCAGCTTGCAGCATCAGGCTCAACAAAAATGAAGATAAATAACTTTGCATTTCAGATGAAAGTGCAACATCTTTACTGTGTATTGACAGACTGGTTAGTGTGTTGCACAACGCTGGTTTTGCACGTGGTGATGTGTAGAAAGTGTGCATTTAATGTATGCACCATGCAGACCCAGCAGGAGCTTTACTACGCCAGTCCCTGCCAGCACACATAAAGCTGCTTATCATACATGAACCAGGAGATTAACAGCATGCAAGTCCTGCTGCAGTTATGTTGTAGTTATATTCAAGTACTACAGATTGGGCTGAAACAAACAGTGATGTTACTCGACTAACTCGCTCGTACTGACTCTTATTTTTGTCAACTGAGGCACCAGTTACATGTAAACAGTGACCTGAACACCACAGAGTGAAGACAGATTTGAACATTTGTAAACTTGTCCTTTAATATATAGCTGAATGGAGTTTTCCTTAATCCAGGCATGACAGGAGCTCATCCTTGTACTTCGGGCGCCATCTTGTGATCAACTTTAGGAACAGCTTGAACATTTTTAACAGCAAGTTTTCTTGTGTTCTCCACACACGTACACATAGATTCATTAAAATGCAAAAAATGAAGTTGACAAGGTGCTCTTGCCAGGAAGAGTGATTACTTGCAATTGTATATATTGATGCTGTTATATCCATGTATCACTTTGTAGAGCATTAAACTTTCTTAATTTATTAATATAGTATGTTTTTGGTTAATTTATTTTTTAATTAGTCAGGTAGTTTGGTGGAGTATATATTATTGTAGCCTTAACCAGATTTTTTATATTTATAGCTTTAATGTTTAAAATTACATTTTTGTTTTATATAATATTCTATATTCTTAACCTAATACTGTAATCAGTCAGGGCAGTTTTGTGTTATGTATCACACTGTAGAGTCTGTAGAGAAACTTGTGTAATAAACTATACTGTAGGGTTTAGCCATAAAATTTATGTTTTAAGTACGGTTACTTTATTTTATGTATATTAGTGTAGGTTCTCAACCTTAATATTTAAACTAATCAGGTGAATTTCTGCAATATAAGTTATTATAGGGTCTTAACCTTAGTATTTAATTTATTCAGTTAAATATATATTTTGTATAACACAGCTGAGTCTCATATAATATTGTACAGTCTTAACCTTAATATCTAAATTAGACAGGCAAATGTGTCATGCAAATAACACGGTAGAGTTTTAGCTTTAATATTTCAATTAGTCAGGTACATTTGTGTTGTAGAGGATGTATGGTTTTAATATTTTGTATTTATTATATCTACAATATATAGGCTATTATTGTAGGGTCTATCTAAATGAGTATGGTAAATTTATATAATTATTAATCTTCTACTGTTTTATCCTAATTTTGAATTTAGTTTGGTAAATTTGTGCAATTAATATTGTAAGGTATCACCCTAATGTTTAATTTAAACACATTTCTCCCATACATATTATTGTAGGAGCTTAAGCTTATTATCTAAATTGGCCAGTAAAATTAGTATTTTATATAATATTGTGGGTTTTTGAGTTTATTCTAAATAGTAAGGAGTCTCTGCTGTGTTCTGCTGCAGAAAACAGGGTAGGAACTAAAAGTCGCACGCCGTTATATCGTAACGAGCCGTTTTTACGGTGACACCAAACGTCATTGATTTGGAGCTGTGATATATCATCGACTGGCCTGGAGCTCGGTGAGTTTACGCCACAAAGCGCGTTATTAAGTGCGATTTGGAGCATTGATGAACCGAAACTTACGTCTGCTCGCTTGTGCATCTGAAAGCATTGATTTTCCGACATGACACGACGTCCTGTCGCCGACGGCGCTGATGGCAGCATTTTAAAGCTAACGATGCTAACGCTAGCCGAGGGGGTTGCAGCACAACAAGGCATTTCCAGCTCCGATATCTCAACGAAAACAACACAAAGCCAGTGACTCTGACTGTTATATTACAAATGAGTAGCCTGGTTGTATTTGTGTATCATTTGCTTCCTTAAAATGTGAACTTTCTGCAGCGGTGTCCTGGTTGATGGTGAGTGAATCAACAGGGCCGACAGACTGTAAACTAACAGGTCGGTTAACGGAGGCAGCAGAACCGGACGGTGTTTATCAGGGACACCAGATGGAGAACACCACTCACATTGGGGTGGGACAGTGTCTTGGTATTTGTTGTTGTCAGCCTATTTCTCTGCAGGAAAACAACCATTTTTGGGGGTTATTCTCTCTTGTTATTTACTTATACTGGCAACAGTGCAATATAGAAGCACATGAAAACTCATATACAGTAAATTAAGCTTTTTTTTTAATTCAACCCTAGATTGATTAAAACCTTTAACACTTGCGAAAGTTGTGCTTTTTAATTTGCTCATAGATTATTTGTGCTTAAATTACTTGGGATTAAAATAAGACTCTGATGTCAAAAGTGTCCTCGTTCTGCTCAGGACTTCTACATGATTGAGACATGACACTGTTTCCATCAGGCGTTTTGTTTCTTTGTTTTGGCTGCAGGTTCTGGCTCTGTCTTGTATTATTCAGAAGTTTGTATCACTTATTTCCAAAGCTTTTCAAAGTAGGTTTCATCTCTGGAGTCTAAAACAGTCCGTGCAAGACTTTCAACCATATCCTCAGCTCAACCCAAATCATGCACATTTTAACTAATAAAATCATGTAACAACAGATTCGTTATTTGCATATTAAGAAGATGCATGTCAATAGACTTTCCAGTGACAATAATATGAAATCTTCGAATTGCGGTATAGACATGTTCTGATTGGAGGCTGCAAGGTGGAACAGTGGTTTGCACTGTTGCCTCGCAGCAACAGGGTTTGCGTCCCGGTGAGGACGCCCAGGATCTTTCTGCGTGGAGTTTGCATGTTCTCCCTGTGCAGCGTGGGTTCTCTCCGGGTTCTCCAGCTTCCACCCACACGGTCCAAAAACATGTTGAGGTTAATTGGTGATTGTAAATTGTCCGTAGGTGTGAATGTGAGTGTGCTTGGTTGTCTGTCTCTAAGTGTAGCCCTGTGATAGACTGGTGACCTGTCCAGGGTGTTCCCTGCCTTCACCCTGAGTCAGCTGGGATAGGCTCCAGCCCCCCATGACAGTAGTGAGGATTAAGCGTTGTATAGATAATGGATGGATGGACATGTTCTGATTGGTCATTTTCGGGTTAAAGCACATGGATGTGCTGTTAAAATATACCTTTTTGGGAATAACAGCCTTAAAGAAATTGTTCCACAAATGAGTTCTGCAAGAAAAATAGTGGCTGAACATAACTTCTGTTCTGTGAGTCTGTATATAGCAATCTAATGGGCTTCATTATTTCACATGTAGAGTGATCAGACTTTATTCTGTGGTGGCTGTGGCCGTCCTGATCCACCGCTTGGCTTCACCTCTGGTTGAGTAGACTTTGTGTTTGCTTGGTTATAGTTTAACTCAGCTATTTTTGTTGTCGGAAAGCTGTTTATTTAATGTTGCCACAAGAACGAGCCAAACCCTTGGAGGTTCTTATAGTTGTTTAGGCCTCATTTTATAAGATAATGTTATTACCATATTAACTTCTAAAAAAAACAATTAATGCCGTTGTGATGTGTTGTTCAACTTGTTTGCATTTGTTAAGTATGTTTGATAAATAGATTTTTAACAAAAACACACAGTGAGCACCTACTGTAACTCCACCATGCACGATGTTATACAGCAGTGTGGACCTAATCTTTTATCAAAGATGTGTTTGTGTGAATGTCTCTCCTCATGCATCTCTTCTCTGTTTTCATATTTTCTCAAAATGACTACAATCAAGTGTTTCAGCAGACATAGTGAAACATTTGTGACTGAACACTTCAGGGTTGTGACTTTGGTTCATCCGTTGTAACTGACTGGTTGTGCAGTACATGAGCAAGCAAGTGCCATAATTTAAATTCTACTAGGAGCAGTTTTATGAGTCTACATGCTGCTGAAGTAATTATGGATGCATTTTAGAAACTATCTTAAGAGAAACTGAATCAAGTCCAGTTGCTACGATTAAACTACGAGTGTAACCATGAGCTGGATGACTGACAATCTTCACAGACATATCTTAAGAGACTGTTAGATTGAACAAGTTTTCTGTGTAAATCTGTGATAATGCCGCTGTTGTGTTTTGATGATTGAAATATCACATATAAACAGATTTATTTATTTTGGGAACCTTAGTGAAATGAAGACAAATAAGCATTGCATGTATTGAACTGATGCATCAGTGGATTGTGGTTTTGGATTGTTGTATGCAATTAACTATGGCTTTGTACAGATGTCAGCAGCAATCATTATGAAGTGTTTTTTTCTCAGGGAACACAAGCTGATATTTTTGGGACTGCATATTTTTTGTGGGGTTGCATAAAAGAAGAATAACTTGAATCCATGAACTCTCAGTGTGAGTCGACAGAGGAAAAGCCAACAGCCGTAGACGTAGCAGTCAGTAAGCACCCAGTAGAAATGCAATGCTTCCAGTGTTGAGCAGGGGGGGGGAACGTTTTTGGAACGATACTCAGAGGTAAAGTGTCTCTGTATGTTTGCATTTAGGGCGGTTGCAATGGCGGGGGGAGAAACAGCAGGCGTCGACCTCAGCAGGAAGTTTGTGTCTGAAACGGAGCTTGATGAGAGGAGAAAGAAGAGACAGGAGGAATGGGAGAAAGTGAGGAAACCTGACGATCCTGAGGGTAAGAACATGTAAATGTATACACACCGAACCCTCTGAACTGTACACAGGTGTGTGTATAACCACATACGATGTGTGTTTGTGTTTTCCTCAGAGGCCCCAGAGGAAGAGTACGACCCACGTTCCCTGTTTGAGCGACTGCAGGAGCAGAAAGACAAGAAACAAGAGGAATATGAGGAACAATTTAAATTCAGTGGGTCTTTGTCTCTGCTTTTTTTCTTCATCTGTTTTGCCATCTTGGTTTGAACTCGTGTTTTCCCTTTATAGCAAGTGTAGCTCCTGCTTTTGACTTAAAGAGATATGCATGAGATGAAAGGATGCATCTAACAAATCAATACTGTTTTACCATACAGTCCACCAGATTTACACACCAAGGTCAGTGTACTCGTTATGGTTAGTCCTATAAAACCCTTGAGGAAACCTGCAGAAATACCCTTGATGGCTTCACGTTGAGCCTGTGAGACTGTAAATCTTCAACAGGAAAGCTGCATTTCAAACGGCAGGTTTTGAATTTAATGAGGCTGGAACTATTGCTGAATATCACTGCCTCATTCCTTCCAGTGTAAGTTCCTAACTGGGTGCAAATGCTAAAAACCCTCCCCAGGCTTCCTTTTGGGTTGAGTCAACAGACTTTCTATTTAGCCAAATTGGTTGGACTCATGAAGGGAAGTGAGGAAGTAATTCAACCATAAGGTGCATCTAATTCTCATAAATGAAGTGTTTGGATAGCTTTCCCTCCTGAAAGACGTTCCCTCAGTTGCAGGGAAATATGGAATCCAACATCTCCTCTCCTGCTTTGTTTTTTATTCTGTCTCAGGTTTTATTAAATAGATTATTTGGACAGAAGTTCATTCAGTTCAAGCATTCATAAATTTAGACGTTTTTTTTTCATCTTTAGATAATATCTGATTTTAGGTGGTGTTTGATTTCAGTGTTTTCTTTTTAGCTGAAGGTCACTGGCGTGTGTGTGTGTGTGTGGTTCTGAAGCAGACTGCCACGGTTTGTTTTCTGAGAAGTGCAGTCACTCCTGTGCCATGTGTTGAGCGCATGTTTCCATGGTGACAGGGAACATGGTGAGGGGATTGGACGAAGATGAGACCAGTTTCTTGGACGAGGTCTCCCGGCAACAGAGTCTGGTTGAGAAGCAACGCAGGGATGAGGAGAAGCAGGAGTTGTTGGAATATAGAATATCCTTTATCGTGTGTTTGTGTCTGCAAAAAAAAAAACATTTTAATTAGCTGCTGTCGCTCTGAGATTGTTTACATTCTTTCATCCTCTTTTGTAATGAGCGATTATACAGATTTAAAATAAGCACTAACACATGAGATAGAGTTGGAATTCATTTGTCTTTTTGTGAAAAGGCAGTTTGAATAGACAAGTCATAAAAGCAAACATGGAAAATAGAGTAACAGTTCATGTCAATGATAAACTAATATTTCTAAGAATTTATAGCAGTTCTAAAGTTTATTTGATATGAAAATAGGGCTGCCAGTAATGATTATTTTCATTGTTTATGACTTTGTCCATTTTTTTCTAGATGAATTAATCAGAAGCAGTTTTATTGCGAAGTAGGTTTTCTCATATAAAGAATTTGACTTGTTTTAGTGCATGACGTTAAACACTAACTAGTGAAACGTGTAAAAAAAAAAAAGAAAAAGCATGTAAGTCAGTTGACAGTAAATGCTATTATGTTATTTGAAAAGACAAATATGGACCAAGTGTAGTAAATCCATGAACTAAAAGTAATAAAAGTAACAAATACTAGTGTACAGGAATGTGCAAATTAATCACCTGAGACTGTGCAAGGCCACACAGTGTTTAATATAAACAACTTGAAATGTGCAAAAGGATAATAATAATTCTAGTAAATAATCAGTTGTTTGGTCTATAACATGTCAAAACGTTGTGAATAATGTCAATCAGTGTTTCCCGAGGACTGAGATGACATCCTCATATGTCAAAGATATTCAGTTTATTGTCATAGAGGAATAAAGAAACCAGAAAATATTGAAATTAAGAAAGCTGGAATTTGGAGCATTTTGACTTTTGGTCGATTAATTGATTATCAAAATAGCGAAAGGTTATTTTAAGTTATTGGTTAAAGTTCGTCAGCTGTCCTTCAGTTATTATCAGGAGTTGCTGTGCAACGAAAATGAAAATAATGCGTCTAATTCTAATAGAAGTCATGCGTTTAGAACAGACCACCTAATTTATAAACAGAACTCTTGTAGTTGACTGTCACTGAAACTGTTTCATGTCCTTGATACACGTTTGACTTCCTGTCCAGTAGCTTCTTCTGTCACTCCATCTTTTGTCTGCATGTAGACAGTAGGTTGTCGTGGAAACTATCAGTGACTAGTAGCTACGATTTCAAACGCACAGATGCAGAAATTAAAGTCACAGTTAAATTAAATACAATTTTTTAAAGTTTTAAAACAGTTGATCAGTTTTCTCTTATTACATGTTAAATATATGTCAAACTTTTTGGATTATTTTTATATTCAGATTTCTTCTTGTAAAGCAGGTGAGTCATCCTGCACCTCCTCGGGGCAGTTACATAAAATTATCCAATCAAATATGATTTAGGGCGACTCGCCGACTCCATCCAACATGTGAAACCTCGCTTTGATCGCTCGATGGTGGGCAGCTGGCGGAGCAGCGTCGCAGTAGGAAGTGTGGGTTTGAATTTCATCTGCTAAAACTAAAAACAAAGAACAAGGTTGAGGTGTGATTTATTCCTGCAACCACCTCCTCCTGGTTTAGCAGCACAGGTGAGGGTGTGTGTGGAGGCTAACAGCTAGTCCTCTGCATCTCTCCCCAGTTCAGTGTCACGGAAATTACACCTGCAGACAAAATTCCACTTGTGATTAAACTCTTCCCAGGTATTACGTTTAAATTGGAAATGTTTCATGAAGATAAAGCTGCAAAAAGTTGTTCTGCTGCAGCTTTCATGAAGTGAAAACTCTGTCATATGTACCTAATGCCCAGTTTTGTATCTAAAGTTCACCACTCCATGTTTTTAGTGTACCTCTCTGTCCATGTAGCTCTATCTCTGCATCTTGACCCTATTTTGTATTTCCTGCGCTCTGTCCAACTAGTTTCTTATTCAAGGCTCACCTAAAGTCACCCTGTTGCCCTCAGTCGGCCTCTCTGCCCGACTGCTTTTGTGCCACCCCCTGAAGGGATCAATCCAACTCTTTGTTCCCTCTGCGGCGCTCCATAATGGTTTATTCACCTTAACACTGTACCGTCACAGCGCTCTAGTGAAGCAAGCATCTGAAAAAGAAAGTCGTCGAGAGCCTGAAAAGAAGGCGGCACCGAAGCATGCAGGAGCGGAGCAAAGGACCAGCCACCTGTCGCAGGCCCATTTATTAGCTGGAGCTGTCAAGAGACGCAGGTATACATACAGATACGCAACTAACGTGCTTTTTGGCTACTTGGGGCAGAGCAACATGATCATCTTAGCATGTTAGCCTTTTTACCCACAAGACCTTTATCGTGCATTTGGAGTCAAGATTGTGTCCATCTGATGAAGTTCATCCAATTATCTTTTGTATTTCTCTCTACCACCTCCTGAGGCATGTTAGCTGTTAAATGTGCCACTGTTGTCACCTGCTAGTTGTTAAAGTTGCCATTTAAGTGACTGAATCAAAGACACAAAAAGACTTGAGGGGCTCTTAATCAGTCTGACTAATCGCTACTTTGAAACTATTAATTAGACCAGCTTTAAATCTTCTTCACAATCTCTTCATTCTCTCACTCAGTTCGTCACAGTCTTCGGACAGCAGTAAGAAACAGAAGGTGGAAATCACGACAGCAGCAGCAGCAGCAGCAGCGACAGGAAACGGAGACAGACACACAGGTGGGCTGCAGTCTGTGTGTGGCTGGCTGGGCCAGAGAACGGCATTCATGCTCAGCTCATATTCAGCTTTTTACCGTCTACATGCATAGCTGGAGTTGCATTTATAATCGGAAAGCAGACATCATTCTACAACTTTTTTGTTTGCTGCTTGATCCAAAAAGAAAATGGGTGTTCTTTACTAATTTACAAGAGAAGTCTAATTGACAGAACATAATTTCTTCAGATTTAAAAGATTCACCTTTTTTTTTTTACCTAGTTTACAAGACACTGATTTTGTTTACATGCAGGCTCCACATGTGCACAGAAATATGAGCGAGGACAAGAAGAGAAACACTGAAAAAGGAGATTTGCTTGCAAAAAAATTGTCTCATGGTTGTTGCTGCTACACAAGACAATGACTTAAAAAACAAAACAAGTTCAACCATTTAAATCAGCACCACAAAGACACCATAAAGGTTTTTTTTTAATATTATGCAGACCAACCTGATCCTAAATCAAGAGCTGGCTTTACTCTTTTCTCCCAGCAAGTCACTACCCAAGTTGAAATGTCATGTTTTTGTTCATTATTTTTTTAATTGGTTTTTGTTTCGGCCACTTCCCACAATCTAAAAAACTCATTGTTGTTGCCTTTTAAGTTCAGAAAGGAAAGAGTTTTGCATCTTGCCTGTTTACAAACCCAGTGCAACTTATTAATTTGTTTAGTATTCACTTTCCATTTGTAGAATGTGTGGCTTTACAGGTGTTAAGTAATAGCTAGATCACCAGTTAACTGTGTATAATAGTAGTTTGGTGATAAGCTGGTAGAGCACAGAGCTCTTCCTGCTAGAAACAAGTGTAGGCCATAAATCTGAAACAATGCGGGAGCTGGGTGATAATTATCTGGAGGATTTTTAACTTTACAGATTGACTAGTTAGACGTAAATCTTTAACTAGTCATTTAAGGTCAGTAGGATTGCTCAGTAACTTTTTATTTTCTAGGTGACTCCTTCCATCTTGTGCTCTACTACTGCATATGCAAACGCCCTTTAATTTCCATGTTCATTCCACTGAAATAATACAAACTGAAGCCTGGAATATTGCCAGCACGTGTCTGCAGGAGCAGTCTGTGGGTCTTACAGTATGTTGTGCTGTTCAGAGCAGGAGGGCGGAGCAGGAGGAGGGTCAGGGGGAGCTGAAGATCGACAAACAGTCCCCGGCCTGACATCCAAGACGCCCTCGGCCCCCCTGAGCTCCAGTCAGGGTGTGTTACACCTTCCGTCAGCAGCCGTGTGCGTCGGAGTTTTACCGGGACTCTGGGTTTATTCCGGCAGCAGCGACTCTGACAGCAGCTCGGACAGCGAAGGTAGCGTGGACGCAATTATGTCGCCGTACCCCCGGCACAACAGGGCCTACAGATAGACACACAGCAGCACCCACACACACACACACACACACACACTGCAGAATGTTTGCAAGCCTTCAGAACGGCTTGCAACAGTCAGAAAAGGTAGCCTCACACAAGATAGACACACAGACAGACTACAGGTCATACATACATACATACATACAAACACACACACATGCAACAGAAGTTAACATCATGTTCGTCGTACATTTGCAACACACACACACATTTAGCAGACATCTTCAGTATTCCTGTTGTTTTCACAGCTGTGAGTTAAACTGTTGCTCTTTGTCACCAGACAAAGTTCAGCCCAGTAATACAATCCTATGAAACGGTTCAAACTGATTTAAACTCTATTCTGAACTAAATCTGTGCATCTATTTGTGGTTTTTTGCTATTGTGGCACTCAAACATGACACCTCCACCCTTCCTTTCCCTCAATCGCATCTCACGCAGTTTAAGCCGAGCAACCAATCCCGCACTGCCTACCCCGACGACATCCTGCCCCCCCTACACTCCCCTCCCAACCCAAGCCACAGCGACTGCAAGCTGTGCTATTGGCTGAGGGAACAGTGATTGACAGCTGTGGAGCAAGGAAGAGACTGCTTTAGACTGTCACATGACTCACATCTTGTTAGCTATCAGCAGAGGAGCGAGAGCGGGACACGCTCGCCTCCCTCTGGGTTAAATGCCGAGTCTGACTGGTTTGAAAAGTAATGTTTTAATTTGTGTGATGTAAAGTGTTTTTTCTCATCTGTAGTCAAATCATTCTGGAAAGATGCTGGACTGTTTGCTGCTGTCTCGGGCGCTGGAGCGTTGATTTGTTGGTCAAAGTCTGAGCAGAATGAAATAAAGAGCGTGCCCTTGTTCTGTGTGTTTAATGTGGGATTTGTGTGGATGTGGCAGAATACAGTAATGTTCCTGTGTACTGTAATAAATTATTGTACACAGGAATGTCTTTTATACAATAATGTGTGAATCATAAGTGAGCAACTGAGTGGTTCTTTCTGTTCTGGGTTTTTCCTTTCTTTTCAAGAATTTGAGAACTCACAAGGTAAAAGTCTTCCCTATTTCACAAGAAATGTAGACAAGTGTTAGAAATATTTATCCCCACAATGCCACAATCCCATATTTGTGTGGTTCCACTGGAGGATTATTTTATAGGTGGCTCAGTAAATTAAAAGTTTGTGACATTTCTAAACCTCAGCTAAATCAGTTTTATGTTAAAACCGTAGACGGGGTGACCTCTAGTGGTATTAAAGTTACTTACAGGTCAAACTAAGTTTGTTCTAAACTACAGGCATAGTTTACTGCAGATTCAGGCCACTTCATTTTGTTTCAGGCTGCAATTTTTTAAACCACTCCCTGACCAATTTGCAGCAGAAAGCACCCAAGTGACCAAATCTACTAGGGATTAACAAATACATGATTTATATCAGGCCAAAGAAGCCAAAGAAATGGATTGAATTTAGTCATGTTGCACTTTTAGGTCGCCTGATGCCTCAGTAGTCACATTCAGGAATTATCCCAGATGATCATTGTTAAATCGTATCTTAAAAATGACCTGCATTTTCTTTTTCAAGTGAATTAGAAGCTTTAAGCTGCAAATGTAGACTTAAGCATATAAGTGCATTGTTAAAATATTTAATAAGAACACAAATCAGTCTTGCATTAGAAAATCAGTCAACATTTTAATTTACAGAGCGTAATAGCAAACATAAAAAAATAGGTCATGTTGGAAAATTAAGAGCTGGAATTCATAAGCAGGAAAAACTATTAAGTGAATAGTTATTGTGTCTCTCAGCTCTCTGATGGTGGCGGAGCTGCTTTGCGTACAGCCTTGGCCAGAGCTTGTTGAATGACTGGGTACAGTTTATAGCATCCCTCAATGCAGGTCCGAACTCCAGCAGTCAGAATCTCTTCAGTCATTTCTCCGTCTGACTGCAGCCCAGAGATCTGGTTGAGGCTGGGGAGGAACGCGACAGTCAGACCTCCCTGGTTCTCGCTGCTGGCCGAGCTGCTGTAGTTTTCCTCCATGTAAGAAGGGTCGACCACATAAGAGGCTCCGTCCTGGCGGATAGAACATCCCAGCACCAGGTCGTACATTTCAATCCCCGCGTCTGCAAGCGCTAGAGAGGCGCATGTGATGGCGTGGGCCAGGACTGAACCGCTGTTCTCCAGAACCATCACGTTGACCTCGATCTGACTGCGGGGGTATTTGTGGAGGCACACAGCAGGCTGCAGACTCTCATGAAGCATCAGGGAGAAGTCCTTGTCCTGGCTCCCCTGGATCCAGGAGCCCCTCTCTGGGCAGGAGAACGGAGCAAAGCGCATGTCTGTAGTCAGTCTGGAGACACAGAGAAAGACAGCGGTGTTCGTCTTCTTCAGCTCTTTATGTAGTAATTGTCACAAGCATGAGTGTGCACTTAAAGGACAAACACATAGAGACTTGAGGGTAACTTCCAGCTGAGCTCAATTTACTGACTTGCAGGATTCAACATGTTAATAAGTAGTACACATATTAGCAATGTTACACAATCTATGGTTATGAGAGGTTTAAAAAAAAAAATGCAATTTAGTGGTGACTCAGAATATTAAGACTACAATGTCCCATTTTTTTTCTTATTCGCTTTATTTGTCTTTGATCAGCATTTAACAGTTCAAAATTTTGTGACAGTTGTTCCATCTTATGTGCCATTTAAAACATAATAATTCCATGTTTGACATGTACATGTAGTTTATATGTTTAAGTTCCCAACCTGTATTTAGAGTACAGAGCAGTTAGTGTTTTGATGGACCATCAAATGTTCTGAATCTATTTCACAATAAATATTGAACTGAAGCTTTAAAAAGGGTTTATAGAAATGGCAATATCTGTTGGAAAAAAGATACTTCCCCCAGATCGTTCAGCCCTAATAGTGTCTAACAGTGTGTATGGCTATAACAGCAGGCCATGAGTAGAATATTAAATTATTAAGTTGACAAAAAGTAAATTAACTTTGGTCATGCTGGGTCTTATTTATGAAAAAGGTTGAAAATTTCACCTTGAGCAATATTTCTGCATTTAAATGTATCAATCTATTACTACTATATAGGTTCAAGATGCAAGTTTCATTCTGTCTTTCCACATTTTTGAACAACTGTTCACGATATTCAAAGACAACCCATTACTTGAAGCTGCAACATTTAATTAAACAGTTAAGTAGCTGTCAAATATTGAATCGATCATCAACTATTTTGACCGTCCATTAATGGGTTTAGGTAGCTCTCTCAATAAAAAGGTCAAAATCGTCTGATTCCACCTTCTTAAATGTGAATATTTTCTGGTTTATTTATTCCTCTGTGAGAGTAAACAGACGACTTTGGGGTTGTTGACGAAGCAGGGCACTTGTCAACATTTTATAGCCTAAAAAAACAATCAATCAATCAATCATTATTATTTCGACAAAATTGATCGATTGTTTTTTGCAGCACTGCTATGAACAATGCCAGTCATGCAAGACCAAGTTGGTTGAATTCACATTCACTTATATTTTTGTTTCTATTTTGTTGTAGATCAATAAATACGATCACATTTATCCTCTACATACCTTCCACATTTCATATCTGTCTCATCTTTCCGCTCCGTTTCTCTGGGGCCGTAAACGCAGCACATCAGCTTGGTGTTTCCAGCCTCGATGTACGCGGAGCCTTTAGCTTGGCTCACCAGGCCGCAGCGCACAAACACCGGCCGGACGTCCACCTGGTCCCGCTGCCGACCATCCGCTCTGGGCCCGGAAGAAGGGAGCACCGCCACCGGTCTGCCCAGAAACAGAGACGGGCTCTGAGACACTTCTGGGCCGCGTACACGTTTGGTGTCAACCGGCATGTTGCACAGAAATGAAATGAACTGACCAGCATGTAAAACCGGTCCCACACGAAATCTGTTCCCCCTTGAAACACAGCCAGGAGGGAAGTGTTCCGCCAATGCCTGACGCTGGAGGAAATGACATCACTAACGCAAAATCTTAACTGTGCGGTAATATTTCATCATTATTGTTTTTACTTTGTAAAATCACAAATCTGTAGTAAATTCTTACAGAATTGGTGCCACATCTCCAAAACCCAAACAATCAAACTATAACAATTAGATAACTGTTATATTAAAAAATGAAAACAACACAAACAAACAAAAACAAACAAAAAACATCTTAGCCACGAATATTATGCGACGAAAAAGTTGAATAAGCTCAGTCTAAAAAAATACTTAAAGAATATTATCTAAACCATGGTATTTAGGAATATAATGTAATACGAAATATACATTTATAAATTTAAAATTTCTTCTAATTTTCTATCAACTTTCATGACTTACATTGTAAAACAAACATACAGGGAGCACAGATGATAACGACACAAAAGCAAAATACACGTAGTAAACAGAGCAAATGGTTCAGCATAATCAAACAATGATAAAGTAGATAAATAAATATGCGTAACACATTCTGATTGCAAATAAATGCAGATTATAACAGCTTAAATAATAACGGATTTTAATATTTCTTTATCTCAATTCTAAACGCAAGCAGAGGGAAATAAGACTTTTTCTGAAATTAAATTTGTATTTTTAAAGTAGCTTTTTTAATGAAACTGGAAAAAAAATATGTGCGTTGACACCTCACTCTTTTACATTGCATCAGCCAGGGCAGGGTAAACTGTAGCACTTATGTGGCGGGCTCGGCTCTGATTGACAGCAGGCTCGTCCAATGAGAATCGATATTTGTCAAGGTGTCATGCCATAGGACCAATGGAAAGCTTCCGTGGGCGTGTTCGCCGCACTATGCTTTCCTTCTGGTCCAACAGCGTGGGCTAAAGCAGTGTTTCTGGGAGCAGTACCTGATTCATTCTGCAAGAACAGCGACTTCTGTGAGTATTTTGAATTTGCTCAGGTGCCGTTTCAATAAATAACGCTTGTTGTAGCACTCACTGAATAGGGTTTCTGTCAGAGTTGCGTGCTAAGGTCTCTCTTTTAGGCCGAACACAGAGAGGTAACATATTAGCTGACCGGCTAACATATTAGCTTGCTAACGTCAGTTTAAGCTAGTGCCTCTGCCCGGCGGACCAATTTACAAACAGCTGGCAGGATGCCGGTTTTTAGAGGATGTTTTAGAGGAATGGTGTCATTTGACACGACTGTCAATGGTTTGCGATACCCATTTCTGCGCGCTTGTTTACAGCAGAGGTGCAAAGGTGGCTTGGGAGAACCCATTTTCATGAGAAAAGGAAATTAACCCTCTGGGACCTCACTTCAGAGCTGCGGATATGTCACTATAGTCTGTGTTTGTGGGCACAAACAGACACCCCCAGAGATGGAAATACCAAGTCAAGGTGTTACATGTGTCATGAGGACAAACCACAGGGCTGAATAACTTGGGATTCAATTCCGTAGCCATGAAGATGTTTTCAGTGTTTACCATCCACCTGATTGCACATGGGGGAAACTTGCAATTCTGTTGGTCATTATTTGCATCTTAGATCACATTTTCCCCTCTTGTTACTAGGGCTGATTGTTTTTTGTTGTTGATTAATCTATTAAATATTTTATTGATTAGTTGTTGGACTGTACAATGTAGGGGGAAAATGTCTAAAAGTATTTCACACAGCTTAAGATGACACTCTTACCCCAAGTATGTTGAGTTTAGTGTCAGAAGAGTAAAGAAACCAGAACATTTTCAGAACTATTTTGGCAGTTTTTATTAGAAAGAAAGAAAGAAATGGTAAAAAAAAAAAAATGTCAATCAGTGTTTCCCACAGCTCAAGATGAAGCCCTCAGCCCAAAGATTTTTAGTTTATTGTCGTATAAGAATAAAAAGAGAGCAGAAAATATTTAAACGTAAAAAGCTGGAGTCTGTATTTTGGCAGTTTTTCGTTAAAAATGGCTCAAACCGAATAATCAATTTGCAAAATTAATGGTCCATTATATTCTTGATAACGCAATTGTTTTTTAGGCTGTAAAACCACAGAAAATTGCAAAAATTGTTTATCAGTGTTTCCTACTGCTCAAGATGACGCCCTCAACCCAAAGTTGTTGGTTATCTTCATGGAGGAGTAAAGAAACCAGAAAATGTTTAAATTTAAGAAGCTAGTGTCAGAATTTTTTTGCTATTTTTCCCCAAAACTTCCTCAGACCAATAAATCATTTATCAAAATAGATGGTCCATTTTTTCTTGATTAGTTGTTTGGGGTATATATTGTCAGAAAATGGTGGAAAGTGTTAATTACTGTCCTCTCACAGCTCAGGATGATGCCTCAACCCAAAGATTATTAGTTTATTGTCATAGAGGAGTAAAGAAACCATAAAAAGAAGCTGGAGTCAGAGAATTTTGGCTCTTTCTCTTTAAAATTGCTCAAATCGGTTATCAAAATAGATGGCGATTAGTTAAATAGATGACATAAACAATTGACTTCATATTCTAGCTCTACATGTTGCTGTAATATTCCATCGCCAGTTATTGGATTTTCTTTTCTGTGTCACTGATGTCCTTTGTGAACTCTCATCTGCCCTTATTTAACAAGACGCTGGGCTGAAATTTCCATCCCATCACCCCAATGTCTCTACTTTCTCTGGTTGCCAGTCGAGTGGTTTGGTAGCCAGGATGGGGACAGTGGCTGTTTACCGTCCGCTTGTTAGCCCCAGAGAGCAGAAGGCACCAGCTGTGTGGTTTCCTTTGCCAGCTAGTTTACAACTGAGTCCACTGATGGGAATTCAACTCTGCTGCCTTTTAATTATAGACAGTATACTGTTTTTTCCCCCCTTTTTTTTCTCTTTGTGAAACAGTTTGCATGCTGCATGGTTAGAGTGAGATCCCGCTGTTTCAAATCACATCAACTGAATATAGATCCTTTTGGGTTATTTTAAATGCTTAAATTCTGCGCCATGCAATTTCTTCAAGCAAGCAAGGTTTAATTAATTTTGCAGCTCAGTATCCAGCAATGTCTCAGGAAGTGTTACAGGCCCCCCATCACCAGAAGTTTCTCATTCAGCTTCAACCCTCTAAGACAGACAACATTCAAACACATTTTGATTTAGTGTTTTAAAGATCATCAAGTTTTCTGAAGCACAACTGGATGTCTTTAAGGTGACAAACTGTTAAAAAAAATATGTTTGGAAAGGGAGAACAAACTTTGCTCTGCATTTTGCCAGACAAATGATTTAAAATAATCAATAATCGATTCTCACAGTTGTCAATTCAGTTTCTGTTGCTGTTGGTAGCTGCGTGCTTTGTGAGCAAACTACATCCTCTGTGAGCAGCCGTGACAGCGATAGATGTCCTGAATACATTCAGGCCTGATGGCCGATATTTCGACGTATTTTGGATTCAAAACATTGAGCAGAAAGAACCAGCAAAATGAATATGACAGCATTATGTTTGCAGACATTCAAAATGAGAACTGCTTGGTCCACATCTGGTTTCAGATCGACAGCTGTGCACTGCAGCATGAAAATCCTCGCCTGTCTCAGTAGATTCCAGAGCTGCTGTTGGTTCACGTGAAGAGCCAAAGGCCAATTTGTTGGAGGGAAATGACAGAATAGAAGTTAAAGCTGCTTGTCAAGACACACAACTGACATACCTCACCTAATTATAGGCTCAAGGAATGAAAATTAGACGTGCTTTAATGACAAGACAATAATTACCAAGAAATTTGCTATTCTATGTATAATTTAAGTCACTTATTGAACAAGAATATGAAACGTTTGCCTTCTTATTTTTATGTCATTATAACATATTTGGAATCTCGACTGCTGGTTGATAAAACAAGACATTTGAAGATCTCCTCTCGGGCATATTTGACCTGTTGTATGGACTAAACCAGTTACCTGCTAACAGAAACAGTGTTTAGTTGCAGCAGTAAGTATAATATGATATAATAAATTGGTTACTCTTTACTTTCGTCCACTTAATTACCATTTATAAGGCTATAATTTGTTTTATGGACACCCGCATGTGGTTGTTTGTGAATAAATAAATGAATTACAATATAGTAAAACACAGCTTTACTGTTGACAGATACAGTTCAGTCATAAAACCCCCTTCCAGCAACTACATTATAGTGTCTTACAAACTTTTATTTAACGTGCACTCCTTTTATCAATACTCAGTGAAAGTTTAAAATAAAATACAGTTAAGCAGTCCTGCTCCTTTACTGGCAGTGCTACTCACATTGGCCTCGTGCAACATATCAGCAATTCATCTGAGGCTATGTGTGGTCATATCATCTTAGAATAAACCTGGATCACACTACTACTACTATTTTAATAAAGTAAAGCTAAGCTGGGTTACCAGACTGCGTTTACGGATAAGAAACTCCCTGAGAAAGCTAACAAACTCTTTTCTGGTTTTGTAGTGTTCTGTTTTATCTAACGTGAGCCCAGGAGATGGATCACAGACATTCAGATGACATGAATCTCTGCTTTCAAGTTGCAGCTAGAATCCATTTAGTTGTTGCCAATGTCACACTGAGAGAAATCAGCCAGGTTTCACCACTTATGATCAGAACAACAGTAGCAGCTGCTGTTTGGCACGACAGGTTGGACGAGGCGACTGTGTCTTTAACCTCTCTACTGTGTACTGTGCAGACACCCCGTAACTGCCAAGTTAGCACTGGCTCAGTTCAGTATGGAGGCTAGATCAGACCAAAATCAGGCAGAAGAGCAGTAAAAGCCTGTTTGTAAGATGATTACCCCCGTCAGGGTTTTCACCGTTTCCAGTTGTAAATGAGAGGGAAGATAAATACTTTCACCACCGCAAACTCAAAAAGAATTCAAATACAGAAATGGCCCCAATTCTGTTTTTGGTTAAATGAGCTTGTTTCAAACAGTGAATTTAAAAAAAAAAAAAACAACATTCTGACTTGGCTGCAAATTTGTTGTTGATCACACCCAGCGAGTTACTTTCTCTTTTAGAATATAAATGGTTCTGGTGTCACTGTGATCCTGAACAGTTTAATTAGGCAGAGAACTGATTTAAAAAGTTGCTGCTGGGGTTGGAAGCTGTTTAAACATGCTGCAGTATTAACTCGTATGTATGAATTTCTGTTCACAGAGCTGATTCAGAATGGACTCCTCCTTGAGTGCAGCTCAAATCCGTGAGAAGTTCATCGACTTCTTTCGACGCTATGAGCACCAGTACGTCCACTCGTCATCCACCATCCCTCTGGACGACCCCACGCTGCTTTTTGCCAACGCTGGCATGAACCAGGTATGAACTGCGTCTTCTCCAGATCTCTCTCCTCTAGCCTTGCTCTTATATTCTCCACATGCCCACTGAATATTTTGACTCAAAGTATCAGTAGAACACAACTCTTCTTATCTCATTTTTAATACCTCTTCCTCTTAGTTCAAGCCCATCTTCCTCAACACCATCGATCCCTCCCATCCTATGGCCCGGCTTCATCGTGCTGCCAACACGCAAAAGTGCATCCGTGCAGGAGGCAAACACAACGACCTGGACGATGTGGGCAAAGATGTCTACCACCACACCTTCTTCGAGATGCTGGGGTCCTGGTCCTTTGGGGACTACTTTAAGGTATTACAGTGTCATCATTTTTAGTTGTTTAATATTTTTTGTCACCTTATAATTTTAGCCGATAATGGTATCAGTATTTGAGAGTTGAAAAAATGCAGTACATTGCATGTAAACTATGTTAGGCTATACTGTTTGATCACACCATTTGTCCTTAGACCTTATCTGGCATTTCTCGACTGTGATTTCCTGTTCTTTGCTGGCCAGCTTATCCGTCAGTGTACCTGCAATAAGCCAGTATTGACTATATCAACGAACTTGTCCAACTTTTCCAGTTAAAGTGCTGCCGGTAGTGGCCTTCATTTTGACGTGAATTCTCTTTGTGGGCATTGCTTTTCAGTTCTGTTAACGTGGTTGAGTAAACCGAATCAGTTTTATTGCCAAGTAGGTTTTCATATACAAGGAATTTGATGGGGTGATTTGGTGCATTAGAGTAAATGCTGCCAAGTAGAGGATTTTTAAAGAAGGATATAAATATTTAAAAAGAAAAGTCACTAGACGGTACGTGTTACAAGTCAAATAAATAGCAAGTGTAACAAATCCAAGGAATTTTAGGTAATTCAAAAGTTATAGAAATATTTACATTGTGCAGGACTGTAGAAATGATTCACTTGAGAATGTGCAAATTTACATAGTATATGGTGTAAGCAACTTGAGATGTGCAAACAATAATGATAATCCTATTATAAAAAAGCTGTGTCACCTTATTAACATTCAAGAAGGGGCTTCAGGGTTTTTCTGCTCAGAATGGGCCTTTGGGTGCTGACTACACAGGACAGTGAGCGTGATCGATCCGTGCACAGTAAAACCAATAAGACTGTGTTACCTTATTAGACAAGAATCTATACATTTTTGTGGTATTTTCTGACCATGTTTGACGAAAGGAATTTCTGATTGAGAAAATTGTTTCAGAATTAAATTGCTATTTTTATTGTCAAAGCCCCCAAAAAGGGTTAAATCTCAGTATTTCCTCTGTGCAAGGAAAGCCATAGACTTCTAAAGTGATTTAGAATCCGGAACAATAACAGCTACAATATTGATTTTTGTGTGGACTTCATATGCTTTTTCTCATCTCCAGTGGTGTCTTTCTTTTCTCTGCAGCAACTGGCCTGTAAGATGGCTCTGGAGCTGCTGACTCAGGAGTTTGGCATTCCCATAGACCGTCTGTATGTCACCTACTTTGGAGGTAATGAAGATGCAGGCCTGGAGCCCGACCTGGAGTGCAAACAGATCTGGATTGACTTGGGGTGAGTTGGGTTTTGAATGTGATGGATTTGTGTCTTAAATAATCACCACCAACTGTGAATTATTACTTGTCTTGTGGTGTGCACCTGGAGCACCTGATACCTCCTCTACAAATCATTTACTTTGCTTGATAGAGCTGCACTGCATCTTTACATGAATGCTGCAAAGTGTCTGCAGTCTAAAGTAGTTTCATGATGTATGTGAGTGTTTCCCCACTAGAGACAGCCTGTGTTATGTTGGTTGTTCTTTGATTAAACATAATTAAGTGTGTCTTTCACTTTTTACTTCAAGTCACTGCTCACAGAAAAACACATTACTGTTCTAACTCAGTCTGCACAATATAAACATGCAGAGATGTTTTCACTCTGCTTTGTCTAATTTTCTGATTCATTCTGTAACTTTTGTGAAGAAACAATATTTTTTTTTTATATTGTAATTGCATTTTAACAACCAGGCTTTAGGACGAGAGTATGAAATGTCACTGGGTAAACATTCAGATTGAGGATGACTTAAATAAATTACTGAAGCGCAGAAAAGGAAGCCACAGAAAGTCACGTTTGTTTGTTCGGAGGCTTGAACACTTTGTTTTGACACTGGTCCCAATTTTCACACATTTTGATTTTTACTTTTTAATTGAGTTGAGTAAAATAAGTCCTCTTTTTGTGTTTTGCTCAGGATGGAGGAGGCTCGCATCCTGCCTGGCAGCATGAAGGATAACTTCTGGGAGATGGGCGACACCGGTCCTTGCGGTCCCTGCAGTGAGATCCACTTCGATCGCATCGGAGGCCGGGACGCCTCTCACCTGGTGAACATGGACGATCCCAACGTGCTGGAGATCTGGAACCTGGTGTTTATCCAGTTCAACAGGTAGCAGACTCACACAACACGTTAAAAGATCGCAAAACAATCAAACGGCGCAGGCATGTTGGCCTTCGTGACTCAGCATTTGTGATCCAAATGATGCTTTTGCAGAAGTAATACATGTGTGTAAGTGGCTGATTCATTTTTCCGTTCATATTGTTTGTTGGAAAATCTGATGCAACTGTTCACTCATCATCACTGGGATTATTTACAGTTCTAAAAGAGAACACAATTTGTTGTGATCCCCTGTGGGATAAATGTAGAGGCTTTCTGGTTCATTGCATTTGTTTGCATCTTCTCTCGTGGTGTTTGGGTTGCCGAAGCATTATGTCTCAGGATTAGTACCATCCATCCAATCTGACACCAGTAATCCTGAGTGTTGCTTTATCCTCGTTTCCAGCAGATCTTGGGTCGCGTTCACACTTTTGGTTTGGATCATTTTGTCTGGAGTACAGGCAAAATGGATGAATTCTTGCCTTTTCGTTTGGGTCCATGTTCACAAGTTCAAGTGAACCTATTAATTGGACAGCTTTGGTGATGTCATCCCGTATAATCAGTGCTTCGGGGTTAATTCTAATCCCTGTGACCCACAGCAAATCATGATGTAATTTACTGCCCGCTTATTTCCGTTTACTAGTGTCACAAGAAAACAACTGATTAAGAGCATTATAAATCTGTAAGGCGGTCTCATTTAATGAATAGCGATGACCAGATAGAAGCCGGATGAGAAAGTCTTGTATTAGAGAGGCTGCTGAAACACAAACTCACTACACCTTTACTTTAAGTTCTTTGTGCATTCTGAATGATCAGGGAAAGTCTTCATATTCTAGGGCTGTAGTCAACTGAAGAAAATCGCAGTCAACAAAAATTATACGTACTCTTAAACCAATCAACTGGTTGTGAGGAAAAAAGATGAACTAAATCTACCACAGTGCAGTAAGGGAATTTTACATATATGGAAAAAGCTGCTTGCAGCATATGAAATCATTTATTGTGGTTGTTTTATACTGAAACAGCATATTCAGAACAGACCACCTGCCCATATCATGTGATGTCTGAAAATACAACTATGTAAACTTGTGATTCCAGAACAAGAACTATTGAGGAATATAACTCAGACAAGTCAACCTACTGTTTTCAGACTTTGCAAAACCTTTTTGCTATCTGCTTTAATGAAATGCAACCACACCAATTATGTCTCTGATGTGGTGTCTGTTAGTTGAGTAAAAATAAGTTGGACGCAGCAGCCCCCATTACGTTGTGCAAGTTCAAAGTAGTAAAAAAGTGTGTGTGTTCACAGGAAGCCTGCTCCTCCTGCCGCCAAACATGATGGATTGCTCCTGAAAGAATATTGATGTAGCACTTTTCACAGGCCATTGAGAGCATATTGATCCAACCAGTAGACCTAGAGACTATAGCCCTGCTCTTTTGACATACGGATATGGTGTGCATGCATGTCGCCCTGTTTAGCATATAGAAAGGCTCCCCTTTTTAGATGATCTTGGCCTAGCTGTTTGTTCAACGCCAGAGTGAGATATTACAGCTTCCACACGGGTCCAAACACTTCTGTAGAACAGCATGGGTGTCAAAATGTCTTGACAGCAACTATTAAACTGGATTTTCTGCTTTTGCTGCAGCTGTGGTCGTCTAATGCTAGAACAGTGCGTTCAGTCTCCATGCAAATGATTGTTCACAAGTTTCAGCTTATCATTGCAATATTTAACTTTGTGCTTAGAACTATTTGAACAAAACCAACTCACACTTACCCATCCTTTAGAACAACAACCATCAACAGAACAACAACTTGCTTCAGGTTTCAGTTCATGCTTGTAACCAGTTCAGTGGGTTGCACAATGAATGCTGAAATGATCAGAATCTTTGTGAGAGCAACACACCTAAATATAGAGGTAATAGGACACACCTTTATCTGTTATTTGTGCGACAAACTGTGCAGCTATAGAATTAAATGCTCACACCCTTTCTCCACACCTCCTCGTATGTCTTTCTTTTAATTGTGCACCCCAGAAAAATGTACTGCTAACAATGTAATGCCCCCCTCAACAGTTAATCTGTTCAATTTCATTCTTCTTACAAATTGAAAAGTAGAACTATTAAATAAGTCAATTTACACAGCAGAAGTACAGGTTTAGTAAAATTCAAAGACATGCACATGGTGATAAAAAAACCTGTGTGCTCTACCGCAACAAAACTGCACAAGTGATATATTCTTTTTAATGATCAACAAATCAGTGGTTTCAAGTCTTGTTTCCTACTTCACCCTGTTTAGGGAGTCAGAGACGGAGCTGAAGCCGCTGCCTAAGAAGAGCATCGACACAGGAATGGGTCTGGAGCGTCTGGTGTCGGTGCTGCAGAACAAGATGTCCAACTATGACACTGACCTCTTCGTCCCTTATTTTGAAGCCATTCAGAAGGTACTGAAATGTACAGGATTTGTGTGAGTGCAATTGCATAGGAATGTAAACGAGATAAGAAAATCTAACATGCCTGCTAAGACAAACTTGAGCAGGTACACTGTTAATACAGAAAGTCAAAGGTCTGATAAGGTCACACATATTTCTTGCTCTAAAGAAGAAACACACAGCAAGGCACAGTTTAGCTGTTTGCTGAGTTTAAATGTTTTGTCCGAAAAATCCGTGTTCATGCCAGACTTTATTGTGGCAGTGGCGTGTCCCCAATCACGTTAGAAATACAGTAATTTAATACAGTGATGACTAACCAGAGTAGGATTATGAGCAAAAAGAAAACCTCAAAAAAATGACTTGACATATGAGGCTGATTTTTAGTATACATATTTCCCATAAACTACCAGCTATGACAGGCGGACTACACAGTAATGTATAACACAATAACACCATTTACTGTAGTTGAGATTGCAAGAACATTGGTTAGCAAGTCGGCAGAGAAGACAAATTACAGCAGACGGTTATAAGTAATGATACATGTTGGAAATGTCCAGTTTTTGTTAATTCGATGAATGCACACTAAACCAAAATTACGAGAAAAAAAAAAAGGGTCGGAAATGAAGTAAGTTGGGAATCATTCATCTCAAAAGCTTTCTGAACCTGCTCTGTGTTTGTTTCAGGGCACCGGTGCTCGATCTTATACTGGAAAAGTGGGTGCTGAGGATACCGACGGTATCGACATGGCCTACCGAGTGCTCGCTGACCACGCCCGCACCATCACCATCGCCCTGTCGGACGGCGGTCGCCCCGACAACACAGGAAGAGGGTGAGATATTAACATTTCAGCTAAAAAAAGCACAGAAAGTTAAAGTACAGCATGCTGTAATTTGTGTGCAGTGTAGTCTTATTTACTTTGTTCTGATGTTGAGAATTTGAAATGTTACGCTTGATTGACAAACTAACGTGCTGGAGACTCGAGGTACACTGTATTCTGGGTAATTGGCTGTTACAAGGTGATTTAGTACAGACAAACACAACACATCTTAAAAATAGGCAATAAAGGCAGGGGTTTATAGTTTCTAATATGAATTTTCCTGTTTTGTTGTCTCCACCATGTTTAGCTACGTGTTGAGGAGGATCCTGCGTCGTGCAGTCCGTTACTCCCACGAGAAGCTGGGAGCTCAGAGGGGCTTCTTTGCCTCTCTGGTGGACGTGGTGGTCGACTCCCTGGTGAGATTGTCTGTCTTCGTCTGCCTCATTTTCATTGTAGCGTGTCCACAGGCCACATAATCTGCTAGTGAAGAATTTAACATTAGGTCATTAGTTATAAAATGTAATGTTCTTCAGTCTTGACAGTCAGATTTTTTTTTTTAAATTATTGATCTATTATGTCTTATTGTACTGTAGGTGTAGACAGTTCTGTGTAGGCTGCGCTTGAATTCAGTCTTTTCTGGCAGTAACAGGATTTAAGAAGTAAACAAATTGTTCACCCGTGATGCTGAGCTTTAAAAAAAAGCAAACTGCTCGTCAGTAGATAGAATTAGTTTTTAGAACAGAGCAACAATAGCCAAGTTAGCTGTTGACTCAACAGTAGCAGACTTTCTGAAGTGGTGACCTTCAGCCTGTAGGTGTGCCCCACAAGTTCAGCTTTAAATGGAGGAAAAATTAGTCTAAACTGCTTCGAAAAATGTTGGTAACTAAAAAGAGCTGAGGCGAGCTCATATGTGGAGAGCAAAAGAGACCACCTGTGTAGTAAAATGTGTAAGAATATAATGTGTTTGTGTGTTACAGGCACAAAGCTAGCTCATTTGTCATGAGAACCAACTTAAAGAGACTATAAATCCTTCATTTGTCTGTGTTCAGTCCTACAGTTGCATAACCCTGTTATTATTTATGCATTAATGCTGGGTACTAACATTGTATTGCATATGGCTTTAATATTTTGCAAATTTGTGTTGGTCTAACTAAGATTTCGAGCAAATTGAAGGGAAATTCTTCCAAAGCTTGACACGCTTTGGAGGTTTTATGTGACGTATAACGATAGAGTACAGTTTATTGCATGATTATGATATTTTCATGAGTTTCTGCTTTTGCACGTTTGTTATTTGGAGATGCCAGTATTTCAGAAATATTCATAAATTATGTCTTTAAAAGCAGACACTGAGCTCTGAAGGGCATTTGTTCTGCAGCAGAAAAAAGGGGGTTTGAATTTTGTTTGTCGAGGTTTTTCAAAAGACCGTAATAGGGGTTATCAGCTCACACGTTTAAAAAGTTAAAAGTTCTCTTTCAGTCACGATAAAGAGCTGGATATTGGAGCTTTCTGTCAATTTTCAACCCAATAAAAACAGCTTCAGTTCAGCTCTGTTATGCTTTAATTGGTGACCTCTGTCTGTCTTTCTTTTGCCGTCGCTCCTCTGCTTTTCCTCTGTTCCTCTTCCTCTCCATTCCTCTCTTGTCTCATCTTCCATCGTCTCCTTCGCTCTCCTTCTCCAGGGCGAAGCTTTCCCGGAGTTGAAGAAAGACCCAGAAATGGTGAAGGACATTATTAATGAGGAGGAGGCGCAGTTCCTCAAAACCCTCAGCAGGGGACGCCGCATCCTCGACAGGAAGATAATGAGTCTGGGAGACAGCAAGACCATCCCAGGTGAGACACTCTTCACTAGAAGCATTGCCACTTGTATGTGCTCACATTATGTCTCCTACGCTGTTGATTTTCGTGGAGAGAGCTTCAGTTTATTTTAAAATCATTGGATGTTTTGTGACATAGATATCATTTTCCCTTTGTTTTGACAAGTTCAGTGCACCAGTTTTGTTCCTGTTCTCCCTGAATCATCCTTTCATCCTTTCTCTACCTTTCATCTCTCTTCACCACCCACGTCACTTTCTTTCTTGCCTCTTTTCTCTGTCACTCCTGTCGTCCTTCAATTGCTTTGTTTTTTTTCCCTTTTAATCCCATCAGAATTTGTGCATTATGGATCGGTCGTTTCCACCATTCATCCATCTGTCTGACTGTCACGCATGATGATCCAAATCTTTCTTGTTCCAAATTTAAAAATACTCTGATTGGCTAACAGAAATTGAGATATAATTAGAAATCTCAATGACCGATCTTTCACGTCGTAAATTTAAATGGCATAAAAACTGATGAACATCCAGCTTTCCTTTCTAAACTTCCCTCCAGGGATGTTAGCATGCACTGTATTGGATTTGTCTGACAGATTGCCGTCTACCTCAGGCTTTTCAATTTATTTCGTCTTCGTCCTAAAGGGTGACAGCATCATTTGTGCGCTTAGTCAAAATGAGGTGCTACAAATGGCAAAATGGAAAACGTAGCAGTGTCCTTGCAAGATGCATTTGCATTGATGGGAGTACAACACGAGCATGAACTCAAACTTTTCACGTCTAACTCGTCAAAATGATGACTGCACCGTTTTGTTTCGCTGACATGTTTACTGTCTGACTCAAGGACACGAGTGTTCCAGCAATGTAGCTGCAGACAGACCCCTCTCCTGCTCTCCTGCATATCAAGCAGCTGATTTCTGTCTCCGTCTGTGCGTCCAGGCGACACTGCATGGCTGTTGTATGACACATACGGTTTCCCTCTGGACCTGACCTCCCTCATCGCAGAGGAGAAAGGCATGGACGTGGACATGGCCGCCTTCGAGGAGGAGAAGAAGGCAGCACAGGTGAGGGGATGGGAGGTTCTTATATTCGCGGTGGGGAGACTCCACTGAGCAGTATTTCGTGTCCTCTCCCCTGGGTGTACTATTTCACCTTGTGTCAGCGTTCTCGGGTATTGCACTGTAAGTCAGAATCAGGAGCCATGCACCTGCTGTTTAAATACACCCACATTTACTTTACAGCCCCGTGCTTAATCCCTGGCTGTTTGATTCGGTCAAAAGATTGATTTCTTTCCTATAATACTGCAGCCTCACATTACTGTCCAACACATCACGGTGAACGAATGTCAGTGCTGCAGTTCTGCTTCCTGCCAGATGAGGGAGTTTGACACACTATGCATTCATATTTCCTCCTTTTCCTGTCATATAGGCTGCTTTAACAGTTTATTAGTTTCACCTGTGCACTCTACAGCATACTAATACATGAACCGTGGAGTAAATCCTAACTTTGGGAAGCTTTCTGTTTCTGTTTTTGTTGACTGTATCAGAGGGACATTGATTCAACTCCAAGGTCAGCTCTGACAATAACAACAAAATACGACTATCATCTAACAAATGTAAAGATTGTAAGCTTTATGACAAGGTATTGAATTAAATTAGATTGCGCCTAATAAAAACAGAAAACAACTTGGTACCTCCACATTTAAAAATAACAGAAACCCTGAAAGCGTACATAGTTTTTATTACATTGTGAGCTGGAGTGTTGCTGCCTTTTTATACCTTCAGAAACAAAGCAGGTTAATGAAATAAAAGCATTTCAAGGAAACCAGCTCATAAAGGTTTTTGTTACCTGCATACATTTGGAGTTACTTATTATTTGCCCAATGAAAAATGGCACTTTTTATTGAATGGTGACATTAATCAAACTCTGATTTTCTTTTGTTGTCACTAATGATGTACGAGGGGCGATCAAAAATCAAAAATTCTAATTATGCTCATTAATGATGTAAACCGTACCTGATTTGCATTTGGCTGCTACTTCTGTCTAAGTAGTCTCGTTGTACAGCAACACAAAGCTCCCAGCAATTCTGCAATGCTTGTAAGGCTCCCTCGAAGTCCTGTTATGTAAATATATCAAGCACCTAAACTGCGTTAAGTGACAACCCTTCATCTTGAATACCTTTATATGGAAGAACAAAAGGTCACAGAGAGACACATCTGGCAAGTAGGACAGCGATGATTGTTTTGTTGTGACCAAAAAACTTAATTACAGTGCCGTCAAACCACAGTTCAGGTCATTGGCGCCAAATGTTCTCACTTGAGACGTTACAGTAGAGCTTTGACCCTGCAGGATGAGTTCCTCCTGAAATCACGCACCATGTCTAGTTTTGGAAACTGCAGATTCTTCCACTTGAAAACTGTTGTTTCTTCTCTGGATGGTAGCTGCAGACCCACTTCTCCTCTTCAGTGATAGTCCTACAATTCTACAATTTCATTTTGCAGACGCTTTTATCCAAAGCAACATACATCTTAGAGCAGATACAACACAAGCAGAGATCTAGTCAGAAAACAATCTGGATAAGTGCCATAGAACAAGTTCAAGTGCGATAGAGCGTCCTCCTCAGCATGACAGTTGAGTAATTGAGGCTGCTGACTGATGCAAAATTTGATGGTTCCTTCTCTGCTCTAGTTTGTGGTCCACTGAGAAATCGCAAATGTGTATCTACCACTGGTTAGAAAAACATGTACAGCACAGGTCCTCCTGCTGACAACACGATGTCACACAGTCTCCTGGCAGTTACTGCTCTCACATGTTGCATGAATGTGACCATGATGCACTTCGTTAACAGTGTTGGTACTTTTTGACCTCGTATGTTTGTTCGCTAGCTTGTCTTTGAAAGTCTGTGAGTTGTAAATTATACGATCAGGTTTGAAGTTTGCTTCATAACTGAACATGCACCTTTCTGTGTGCTTAGTTGAAGTCTCAGGGTAAGGGCGCAGGATACGAGGACCACATCATGCTGGACATCTACGCCATCGAAGAGCTGAGGAACAAGCAGACACCGGCCACAGACGACGCTCCCAAATACAAATACACCTCAGATGAAAACGGCAACTACGGTTTGTGCTATACGATTTCGCACAAACACGTCTTAGCTCAGCTGGACGGCTGACATTCACTGACTGACCTTGAGCCTGTTTTTGTGTCTAGAATTTCAGCAGGCCTCCGCTACGGTGCTGGCTCTGCGCCGCGATCGCGCCTTCTGCGATGAAGTGACTACGGGTCAGGAGTGCGGCGTTGTGCTGGACCAGACGTCCTTCTACGCCGAGCAAGGCGGACAGACGTTTGACGAGGGCTACATGCTTCGAGAGGATGACAGCACAGAGGATGTAAGTGCAGCAAAAAAAAAAAAGAAAGAAAGTGAATGCAGTGGTTTATAATGAGCTTCTTGGCTGAGTGTTTCCACAAAGAGGTCTGAGGTTTTCAAAAGTCCTCATTAGGGCAATTTCCAGAGTTGGTGTGTTGCTTTTTTTCACCACAAACTTTACACAGTGGTCGCATTGCGGGCACAAAGGGGAAAAAAAAGGAGGTTCACCTTTTGTTGACTTTTAATTGGGGAGATAAAACAATTACACTATCTTATCTTCAAAGCTGCCACATTTGTTTAAATAGAACTGGTGAGTGTGATAGCCGGTTGAAATCATGACTGCAGGCAAATAGACCGTCTGCTTGGCGACAAAGGCTGCCAAATGAAATATCACAATTCTGACGCAACAATGGATGAAAGATAATAAATTGTTCTCAGTCTGTTCCATGACCGAGAACCGGAATGGCACGAAAACAGTCGTATCTACAGTTTGCAGGAGAGCATCTGTGTAAAAAAAAAAAAGAAAGAAAGAAAAGAAAAGCCATTCAAATGTCACTACTGTTTCTTTTGTATGTGTTCATAGGTTTTTCTAATATTTCTCGTATTTGCCAAGGATGTGAAGGCGTGTTAAAGGAACCTTGGCTTGTTAAGGCTTTGTGTTCTCTGCTATATTTAATCTCCAGATGCTATAATAAAAATACACACAAAGCATCAGCCAGGAATTATTTTTGCTTCCCGTTTCCTGCCAGACAGAGACTTTTCTCTAACCTTGCTGTCTCTGGGGCCTTTTCTTTCTGTGTTCGCAGCGGATGGAGTTCACTGTAAAGAACACGCAGGTTCGAGGAGGTTATGTTCTCCATGTGGGTACCGTCTATGGAACATTGAAGGTTGGAGACCGCGTCACTCTACATGTAGATGAGGTGAGAACACTCTGTCAGATTGATACTTGTAAATTATATTGTTCATCATCAGTCAGAAAATGATTCAGGATCTGTTTCTACGTTCTGGATGAAGCTCTGACTCCTCTCGCTCTCTCCAGGCTCGTCGCAGGCCCATCATGAGCAACCACACCGCCACACACATCTTGAACTTCGCCCTGAGGGGAGTTCTGGGGGAGGCGGACCAGAGAGGTTCCCTGGTCGCCCCCGATCGATTGCGCTTTGACTTTACTGCTAAAGGTGCCCTGAGCACGGGTGAGGTCCGCCGGACTGAGGAGATGGCTTGTGCCATGATAAGAGACGCTAAGGTCAGTGGTGGAATACAAATGAAATCGTCACATAGTAGAATTTCATGAGGAGAAGAAGCCTTTTTACTCAGAATAATAATGACGTTTGTGTCAGTCCTCTCTCAGCTGTAACTTGAAAATGTCTGAAAAGATGTAATGAAAGATTCTATCCTGATTAACGTTTTAAATTGTCTTGATTTTCCCATAATGGGTGATTTTTGCTTAAATTTGATGATGATAATTCTGAATGTGATCTCCACCTGAACTCTGCAGCCAGTGTACGCCATGGACGCACCGCTAGCAGCAGCCAAGGCCATTCAAGGTCTGCGCGCCGTGTTTGATGAGACCTACCCCGACCCAGTCAGAGTCGTGTCCGTTGGTATTCCCGTCCAGGAACTGCTGGACGACCCCACCAGTGCTGCGGGTTCTCTCACCTCCATCGAGTTTTGTGGTGGAACGTGAGTATCATGCTGATGTCTTGAAAGAAAAACTGCCAGTGTCGCTAACAGTGAACTGGACTGCAGTACATCGTGTTGTTGACTGGTTTCCTGTTCTGTGTGGTTGTTGCTACAAAAGTGAAAAGTAAAATAGCAGAGACATTCCCAAACAAAGCAAAAATGAGAAAACTTCGGTCAGAATTGAGCTAAAAATGTTTGATCTGATGCTTTGAGGTCTTTTTAGCCTAGAAGATCAGTCAAGTACACAAATGGAGCATTTAAAGCTTTACCAACTTTAATCAAAGTCCACATAAAGCAGTATTAAATGTGCTCTGAAGTTATAACAATAGAAATCTGCTATTAACCACCCAGCCAAATTAGAATGATTGAAAAGAAGCTGTTAGGTATGGAAATTAGGTTTAAAATCATGAAAAAATGGTGCTGATTTACAGTTTGATCATCAGCCCAGATAAACTGTAAAAAAAAACAAAAAAAGTGCAAACAGACCAGGGTTTGTTTCAACTGAAGCTAACGGGTTAGCTTGTGGAAATGTGAAATCACAAACACACACTGTAGATGTCAGATATTTTCATGGTTTTGCATTCTGAGAAGATGCATTTGCTGGATGAGTACATGACTGACTCACAAACTGTGGACTGTTGTTGGTGTAATCACTTGTAATCGAATGTTTACACCAGTGATGCTAATGCTCGTTAGTTTAGGTAACGTTATAGTGTTATGGGGAAGGGTTATGCTAAGTCTGGTACCAGTACTTCATTAAGTCATGATTCATGTGTTTAGAAACACATCTCTCAATTTCGTTAATATGGACTTGAAAAATATATAAAAGCAGCTATTTCCTGTGAAGTATCGACTCTAAATAGTCAAAGAAATGTTTGGTTTCATAAACAGAATGCAAGAAAACTTGAAGAAGAAACACATTTCTATTTCCATTTTTTTCTCTCAGCTTCCCTGTTTTTGTTTGTGGAGCGGTGCCATTCATTATCGTGTTGTTTACTTCTGTTTGCTGCTACGTGGCTTCATCCTGATTCACCCTCACTGCTTCTTCGTAACTGTCTGCCACGTAATGACAGTGTTTGTTTTTGGTTTCCCAGTCTGTCAGGAATGTGTTTCACAGACATTAGTAATGTTTGGGAACATGAACACAGGAGCAGAAAATACACTTTTTTTTTTTTTTCCCTTTACCCTGATCTGCTGCTTTGATTTAAGTGTGCGCTCGCCGTTACATCTGAAGTCTTGCTGGAAGTTACCGTGCGTGTCCCGAGCGGACTCAAATGTGCAACGTGAAGAAACGTCTGCATTTGCATGGAGTTTTCAGACGTGTCAGACCTGCCCAGCGGTGGTGTGCAAAGTGGATACTGTTAATTGGATTTGCGTGTCTTTCTGGTGAGACGACCGTGTCCTTGTGCAGACGAGGCCCGGAACATTTCGTCAAGCTCAATCCAGCGATTAGACCTGCTCCACTGACTTTAACAGCGTCTGCTCCTGGCTGTAAAATTCACCTGAATGCCAAGACGTATCAACTCTTTTATAGATTATATTATAGAGAGACTTTTCATTTCATGTGATTACTGTAGGAGACATTTGCATTGAGCTTTTTATTTTTTATTTCCTTCCGTTTCATGCTGCTTCAGGTTTTAGTAAACTGTTGGGTGTGCTTCCTGATGTTGTCTTTGATGTCGTTTTAATCTGCAGCCGCTTCAAACAGCCCCTTGTTCCTGCTGCTGTTTTTGTAATGTTTTCTCCCCTGCTCGTGTTCCTCCCCTCAGCTCCTCGCTGCTCTCCTTCTCATCTGCCTCCTGCAGTTGTATAACGCTGCTGGTAATGCGCTGTTGTTTTCTGTTATCTGCAGCCATCTGCAGAACTCGGGTCACGCCGCGCCGTTTGTCATCGTCTCGGAGGAGGCCATCGCTAAGGGCATCCGCCGCATCGTTGCTGTGACAGGAACAGAGGCCCAGAAGGTCAGGACACACACAACTTACACTTAGTGATGCACTTGCTTCCAGCAGTATCCCCGCGTACACACATCCTCCCACGCTTGCCTGGAAAAGAGTTTGGCCAACATTTTTGAATAAAGTCGGCAGATTTAATTCTCTCACATTTTATGTAAAAAACGAAAGAAAGCCTTGCCGTGGCGTGTCGAGCACAATGATTTAGTCGCCGCTCCTAACAAACACCTGACCAATTAAACGACAGAGTGTCCCAGACAAAGCCACCACATGTCTTATTTGGGTCTCGCTGATGAAACTTTAATGAAGCTTGAGGTGAACTTGGAGCTAGAAAGGAGAATTTTGCATTTCCCCCTCTCTCCAGGCCTAGAGGACAAATTAATCTTCCCTATTTTTAGACAACAATCTCTGTTTGATCCTGCTCCTTCATCTTTCTGCCTTTTTCCCGTTCCCTCGCTCACACCACTTGGCTTATTTCTCTTTCTTTCCTCATCTCTCTCTGCACCTTCTGCTCTTTGCCCTTGCCTCCCTCCTGCCCCACTGCTCACGCTGCTGTGTCTCGCATCCATCAGGCCCAGAGGAAAGCCGATGCCTTGCGGCAGTCTCTGTCTGCTCTGGGAGACAAGGTGAAGCAGCAGACGACCCCGAACAAGGACATACAGAAAGAGATCGCCGACATGACTGAGGTAAATGACACGTCTGCGCTAGAAAACCTTCAGAATAGAATAACTCTGTGCTGTGGCGTCAACATCTGTCTTCCCTGCAGTCGATAGGCACCGCAGTGATCTCTCAGTGGCAGAAGGACGAGATGAGGGAAAGCCTGAAGGGACTGAAGAAGACCATGGACGACCTTGACCGCAACTACAAGGCCGACATCCAGAAGAGAGTCCTGGAAAAGACGAAGGAGATGATCGAAAGCAGCCCCAACCAACCGCTGCTCATCATGGAGATGGAGACCGGAGCCTCAGCAAAGGTATCAGTCAGGACACAGCTTTTTTTTTTTGCTCCCTTCAGTTTTGCCTCTTGTCACATGTGGGCTCATTTTTCCACCGCAGTATAAATCCTGCACCTCTTTGGAAAAGGCAAACTATACCTCAAAGCAGAGGGAACTCACTAATATCTGTGCACTATGACGCAGTTACAACGTCATAAATCATAAAAAAGACCAAATGAAAGCTACTTTTCTTTATCTACTTATGCTTATCTCCTTTCTGGTCTCAGTAAACACAGCCTGCACTTCATCCGAGTTCAGATAAAAAGTTCTTGAATTTTTGTCACGTGGCTGTTTGTTGCACAGAGGAGCGCAGAATTTTAATTTTTTACATTTTTTTAATATAGAATCCGATGCAAACTTTGTTTTTGACAAATCTTTAAATGATGCATGTAGAATGAAGTGATTTTGATTCTATGTCAGCATCTCAAGCCTGGATTTGGTAAGTTTTCCTGACAGAACAGCATGTCACAGATAAGTAGTTCAATGACTGTTTTTCAGTTTGTGGCTAATAAATAGTTTAAATTGGGGTTTTTTTAAGTTAAGTATTTAATTTTTAAAGCTGATGTGCCTTTTGAGTTTGAGTTGTGGGTCTCAGAGTGTTAATGTTTTGAAAAGCTAGCTAGCTAACAAGCTAAATATTACCTGCAGAGTGTGTATGGAGCAATATTTTTTTTTCCAGTTTAATCTGAATTGACATATCATCCCTAAAGAAAAGATGTCCTTGTTTAAAAAAAAATTAAAACCTTACAAAGAGAGCAAGTTCATAATCCAAACCCAAAGACTTCATCTGAGTCCTGTTCAAAAATAAAGTGGAAGTGCACACAGTATTAAAATTCACTTTATCTCTGCAGTATTGCACATTTTCTCAGGCAGTGTCTTAGCTTATCTCATTGTGTTATTGCCACGGGACCAAATCAGCTCTGTGGCCCATTAATTCTGACCTTGAGACATCAATAGGGCTGATTAGGAGATGGTTTATTCTTTCTTCCTGACTCTTTCCCTTCTTCTCACTTCTTCCCTTCTTCTACTTACTCCTAACATCCCATCTTTCCCTGCGTCTCTCTCAGGCTCTGAATGAGTCGCTGAAGCTGCTGAAGTCCCAGTCCCCTCAGACCGCCGCCATGCTCTTCACCGTAGACCCCGACGCCGGCAAGATCACCTGCCTGTGTCAAGTCCCACAGGTATCACGCCCACTCGCTCGTTGCACCTTAAGCTTCTCCCTGAGTACCTTCCACAGAGCTAACCGATGTCATCCCTCTTTCCTCCCCAGGATGTGGCCAACCGCGGACTGAAAGCCAGCGAGTGGGTTCAGGAGCTGTGCCCCCTGCTGGACGGCAAAGGAGGCGGCAAAGACATGTCGGCTCAGGCCACCGGCAGGAACATGCTGTGCCTGCAGGAGGCGCTACAGATCGCCAACGAGTTTGCACGACTGAAACTGGGAGAGAACTAAGAGGAGAGAGGAGGAGGTGAGGCTGCTAACATATCAGAGAGCAAAGTGGAAATTGGTTAGAAACCCTTACAAAAAAGTAAAAAACCCTTTCCTCTCCTCTTTTCTTCTCTCCTTAGGTCAGACAGATTAGAAAGCTAACAAAACCACGTTGACAGATGACCACTGACACTCAGCCAGCACTAAATGAGCCGCTCGTATTTACTGGGACAACTCCTGCTGACTCGCCCCAGTAAAGTTCATCTCTGTGGAAATGGCTTTAATATGTTTAAGATCCTCTCCTGCAGTTTTAACTGAGGGAGGATGGCAGACGATTTCACAGATTGATTTTATCGTTTCATTCATTGCATGTTTGGATGCAGAGGAAAAGAAAAAGGGATGCACTTTTTGAATCATTTGGCCTCCTGCAAGAACTGCACAGCTCAGACAAAGCGACAGAAACCGTAGCTTCCACCTCAGATTTCTTTTCTTAGCACAAAGTTGGCTCTTGATGAACTGCCATCCTGCCTCCTCTGTGTTTGTGTTTCATCTCGCTGTAGCCCCGTTCGTTCAGAAACAACCCCGAGGCACTTTGTCTTTCCTTTTGGCTTCCTGTACCGCTTGAGCTCAGCCTCAGAAAGAAAAAGTAAAAAAGTCGGCCTCGCTGTTAAATGACTTCTCCACAGAGTACACAGTATGTTCTCGGTTATCTGAAGGCTTTTAATCTGATCTCTGAACAGTGGCTCCGTCCGTCTGTGTGAGTGAAAGCCTGTTTACTCCTGTGATCGGTCCGACTTGAGCTGTACATGCTGTAGCTGTAACATAGTCTTGCTTTTCAAATAACAAGCCATTGTCCGACACGGGTTTAATTTAGTAAACAAACACATTGACTGTATAAAATGATCATGAACGTGTCCAGTAATGAATCTGTGTAACTTCATGCCGCTGACATTTAATATTGATTTGAATGTCTTATCATTGTAGCTGTTCTATGTCAGACAATTGTCACGTTATGGAGATGGAATAAATACAACCGGTAAAATGCCACCACACGTCTTGTCTCGTTTCTTTTTAAATGTGAGACAAACACGTTGTTTTTTTTAAAAATAGGTGATTCATCTCAGATTGACAGGTACAGGCGAATCTGAACTTCAAGTATCGCCTCAGCTCGGATGCGATCAATTACGCCACAAAGGTTAGACTGACATCATTAGATGTGGATCACTGAGCAAAAATGATCAACGCTGACAGCTTGAGCTTTAATGAGAGGAAATATTATGTACCTTGTGCAGGCTCTTGTTGCGTGTCTGTATTCATATTGGTAAATTACTCTTAATTAGACGTGCAATGACTAGTTTTCTTATAGGCTGCTTGGGGGCAGCAGGAAAAACACTGTAATGCTATCATTCAGTACTCTGGCTGTAAGTTAGCTTTATGATGTTCCTCCTGCAGCTTGCAACCATTTTCAAAGACGACTTCACACGTTGACCTCATGTATCATGAAGCTTTTATTTGTACAATAGCATAAGATACAAAGAGTCTGATCACATATCATACAGAGGTTTCAGTGCAGTAAATACACGTGTACTGCCTCATCCAAAAGGTACAGAAGAATGAGACGTTAAAGCCGGGACTAGACGATGACGGATCCAGACAGCAGGAAACCACCCACACGGAAAGGTTTCACCCTGTTTCTTTACTACTCGTTGTACTGTTTCATACGAGCCCCCCACCCTCCCATCCCTGGAAGTTTACCGTTATGTCAGACAGATTTACTAGTTGAGTATTTTTGTCTCGGGGAGTCTGAAAGTTGGCGTTACAATCCACAGAGACAGTCTGACAAGATCTGTCTGCAGCTCGCTGGCTGCCGCTAAAGAGGCGTTTCTGCTCGGTGCAGACCAGTGAACTGATGAGGGAAGAGACGCTGGAGGCTGCTCTCACCTCGGCCCAGCGTTTTCATCATGACGTATTTGCTGCTTCTAAGCTCTTTGTCAAACAGTCGGTGAGATTTCTACAGAAAATTACTCTCCTTCAAGACAGCGCTTTAAAATCTGGAGAAAAAAAAACACAGTTTGAGGAGATTTGAGTGGTATTAAACTAATTTTCAAGCCTTTTCTCGGGCGCACGCTATCTTTTGTTACAGCTGGAGACGCTGGATGGATTGTTTCTCTGCCAGACGACCACAAATTGATCCAATTTTCTCATTTTGTGTCATTTTAAATTCGGTAATGAGTTCTGAGTAATATCAAGCCTCAAGTACTGCAGCAAGGGAAAAAGAAGCAAACTCATTTTCATTTAATATTGTAATTAAAGGGCACAGTTTGGCATTTTCAAGAGTTTAATTGAGATTTCTTACCACACTTCCGTCTGGATGCTAATTTGGAAGCCACAGTCAGGAGATGTTTAGCTTAGCACAAGACTCAGGATGACTAGTCCACCTAGCAGCCCCTCTCACGCCTTATATCTTGTTGGTCGGCTGAATAATTTTGGTAAAATGTCTAATTTCGATTGCAAATTCAAGAAAATAAAGGCTCACTTCAATATTCACTGACAGCTTTATTCTAAATTGCAGCCTTAGTAATTTGGTAATTGCACTGCGATAATTAAAATGGACTAATTGTTTTCAATAAGCATAAAACAATTATGTTTAAAAATGACAATTACTTGTTTTAGAGGGCTGAATTTAATTTTGTTGGTCTTTATGCTAAGCTAACTGTTTCCTGACTGCAGCATTAGACATTTTTTATCCCACAAACATGAGAATCATATCAAATTTTCCCAGAATGTTAAAACTGCTCTTTCAAATGCAGATGCACATAAATTGTTTTATGCACCAGCGTCCACTTTTCTCTCACTGAACAGGTGCTTTCAAATCGTCTTCCGCACTCGTTCTGTTTGATTACCTCCATAAAATTACAATAAATGGTGCCTCTTTTTCTTTCCAGGAAAATGGAACTAGTTTTAAACTCCTCCTTGATAACATACTTTCAGGTAATTGGGTGATGTTTGTGGCTTTACTAAAAATTTGCCTCGGCACATAATGTGTGAGACAAAACAGAGTGAAAATAGATGTAAAAGGAAGCTGCATTCTACTGACGACAAGAACAACAACCAAAAAAAAAGTGCAGGGATGTTGGGGGTAAAATAAAACGCACCTCTTGAAGGAACTCAGTCCAGTTTAAGCCGTGACGTAAACAAGTCGTTTCTGTCACCGGCGTCACAACCACACATTCAAAATTCACCTGAGAAAACCTGCTGCCTCCTGGACACCCGAACTGTCACCACAACGTCGTCTCCCATAACTCTCTTCAACCTGTGCAGCTTTTTTTTATTTTTTATTTGTATTTCTTGACTGGCATTCCTCTACAAACTTAACCCCAAAAATGTGGGTGCTCCACATTTTCTGCAAAATTATTTTAAGCATCGCGTCTGGAGGAGAGAGAAAGTGGGGAAAAAATGAGTGTATTGGGTCAGCGACAGGAGAAAAGACCTACTTTAGGTTATAAATGCTACAGGGAACACTCTCAGATCTGTGTCATGTATTCTAGGCGAGAAGGGAAAGAAGAAGAAAAAAAAACCTCCACTCTAATTTAGAGTGGCACAGCAGAAAGGGATCACCCTGCAACCCTCCACCTCTATCTGATCACAATGTTCTGGTCTACAGCTGCGAGAAAACGGAGGAAGCTGATAACAGTTTCCATGCTGGAACAGGGTCTCACCTGTTTGGTGGTGGGAGAGGAGGGGGAAACGGTTAAAGACTTTTCTACTCCCTGCAGGCGAGAAAGGACACGTGTTATCTCTGAAGCAATCTGCACATTCATTTTTGAAGCTGGAGCGAGCGTCAATAACAACAAGAAAAATACCGAACCAGGCTCGAGTTCATCACAACACTGATATGTCTAAACCTTTCAACACTTGGTTCCCGGTGCAGCCCAGAACAGATGCAGAAAGATAGGACGGCCACCTGGACCGTCTGTCTTGCCATTTCTTCTACCAAAGAAGAAATGCTTCAAAAGTTTCTAATGTATGTTGAAAATAAGAGAAAAAAGTGAGTTTGCACTGCGTGACAAGTTTCCATCCTCTCCTTCAGCCTACAGCGGCCTTTTACAAAAGAATGTCGGCGTACAAAGCGGTAAGCGGGAGGCGTCTGCACCCCGAGCAGAAGGCAGAAAGTGTGTGTTTTCATGTGTTTCTGTTTATATATATATATGTATATATATATATATATGCAGCTCAGAAGGCACAGCTCTCAGCCAGAATATGTGTGTGTTTTGTGTGACTAAGTGACTGGAAATGCAAAAGGTAGCAGGTGTGTGTGTTGCCAACGGAGCAGCTGTAGGCGTCCAGCAGCAGAAAAAGGCACGAAAGCATGAGTGTGTGTGTGACGACAAAAAAAAAAAGGGGGGAAAAACACGAAAACAATGTCCAGATTCACTAATTCATCCTGTAAAATCTCTAAGCAGAATAAACACAATGAAAGCAAATACTGATAAAACATGAAGGAACACTCTGTGGTCCAAAGATAATACAGTAAAACACCGTCAGCAGTTCCTCCCATCGCCTGTTGGGGGCGATATGACGCCCCGACCCTCCTCGCTAGGCTTCCTAAATGAGCAAAAGTGATGGTAAACTACACGTAACCCAATGAGAACATACGAACAGGTGGTTTTATCCCTTTTTTTTTCTCTCTTTTTTTTTTTTACCCTGATGTGCTCTGTTCTCTTACAAACACAGCTGTTATTTCACATGAATGCAACACGTGCTGGCACTCACAGTTCCTACGCAGCTTCTATTCACAAATCTTCACAAACACTTCGGGGGTGGTGAGGTTTCTCGTTTCGGCTCACTTTGTTACGAATCGCTAAAAATACACTGACGTCTTCTGAGAGAAAAACAAGCTGCAACTACTACTTTGTGCAGTTTTTTTTAAAGCAGCATTTAATGCCCCAAAAAACATTTTTGAACTATTTTAAAGATTGTTTTGCTTCGAGACTTCGTCCGATTCCTTTTCTATCTGTGTTTCTTTTGCACTATTTTGAAAAGGTGAGCTCAAATATGTCCGTGTGATCAGTTTTAGAGCCCAACTGATATGTCTGGTAGCCGATATTAGCTTATCACAGATATATTGGAAGTAGTGTGTTTCTTACAGAATATAACGCAGATGAAAAAAAAAGATGCTTAGAGTCATTTTGAAACTGTTCTATCACATAGTTTGCCCAGAATTGAGGCAGTCTGACTCTTAGAACTGTTTGCAGCGCATGTAACAGAGCACACGGTGGTGCGGAGTGAAGTGGAGGTGAAGAACATTAGCCAATATGTTGATACCAGAAGTTTAATAGAACCTTAAGTTGTTCTCCATGCAGCTTTCAGGAATATGCAGCTTTTTATCTGACTCTGATGAAGACATAGTAGTGTTGAAATGTCTGTTTGCACATTAAAAGGCTGTGCATTAGGTAGTGTGCTCCCGACAACTTTTTGAACTCTTAAAATAACCTAAAATTAATTTCGGAGCCCTGAAATCAAGTATTAGTTGAGCTCTATTTGAATCAAAAACAGATTTCTGAGTGTTACCAGGTTGAAACAACACCAACAGAGTTTGTGAGATAATTTATAACTTGTCCTTTACGGATACTCCTCAAATCTCAACATGTGGATCCTCGACTTCTAACAAACCACCTGAAGGCATTTCATTACTAACAATAGATGTAAAAAGCTGATATTTTTGGTTTACTTCTTGTTAATTCCTGTGAATCCAAGGACAAAAGTTTGAAACAACTGACAGGGAAGAGTAGTACTGCTCTTTGAGAATAAACTAAACACTACTTGTGATCAAAAACTCAACAGCAGACCTTTAACTTTAAGTGTTTTTTCATCTAATCATGACTAATTAACACTTGTTTTTAAATACTTTGTTTTGAAACCAAGTTTTCAGGGGCTTTAAATACTTGCATTTGGACTTCTTTTACTTAAAGTAGCCTGTGATTGACATAAAAATAGTAAATAGAGTTTTAAAAGCTCTCAGCACATCACAAAGTGGCTGCTGAGGC